CTACATATGAAATCTGGCAATCTTATATATCCGTCCTTCCTAGCCTTTGATCGAGCTGCTCGTCCTCTTGGCCCTTGCCGAGACCTCGAGCACCTCGATCACTTTGTCCCCGTGATGTTGGATCACGTGACCGTTCCTTGGGTGTCATCAACGCCTCTGGCCTCGATCTCCGACTTTCATCCCAAGTACTTGACGTCTTCTCTATCCTCATAGGTTCTGGTATCGTAACAAGCCTAGGCAGGACCTGCAGCAGCCTAGACGTGAAGTTCTGACAGAGCTTAAGCAACTGCATTTGTTGTGTTGCTAAGCAACTGCTTTGCTCGGCCTTATTCGCACAACGATAGAATCCGAGCTCCGATATACGCAAATAGCCTTTACCCTTTCTTACCTTAACCTGCAAAGACTCCTCTTAATTGCTTTTCTTAGCAACACTACTACTGTCCCTTCTTGTCTTATCAAGGACTTGTGTTACTGCCTGCAGACCGAGTCTAGTCGAGCTGCTATCCTTTATACTAAGGCGTACCAAGCAGTAGGCATCGCAGAGAACGGTTGGCTACTTTGCAAGAAGCACAAGCGTGCAGAGTACCGCTATCTCCTCATAGTTTCTTGGGAAACTTTGCAGCTGCGTGCAACAATAATGCTCAGCGCAGAGATATTGCTCTGTAGAGGGCAGTGTGAATACTGCACGCCAGTATCAATTTGAAGCCACGGGGATCGAGCAATCGAACCAACAATATTTGCATCATATCACATTGCTTTGATGCCACAGAGGTTTCTAGTCTTTCTTTGTTTCATTACATAGCTACTCGTTTCGATTAAACAGTGCCAATAATCATCCATGGAAGTCCCTACACCGCGTGGGAAGAGAAATGGGTCCGCGAAAGGCTAACATTTCTACTCATCTCGCTTGTCAACTGGTACATGACGTTTGAAACCCATCAGCTGTACCACTTCGGTCCAGAAAGTGACTGGAGGCGAGACAAAAGATGCCTCATAAGCATCTATTAGAGGGCCATCCCACACAAGATCCACTTCGTGTGGCTTTAGCCACCTTGTCTTCTTGTAGAATTTCCAGAAGACAAACAAAGCCGGGGCCACGCCAACCATTGTGTAATAGGTGAAAAATCCTTCAACAGTAAAGTTTCCTGGCTTAAAGGTCGAATAGCCATACACAAACACTACGAGAATCTCGAAAATGAGTGCAAGCCAGGTCCCGTATGGCTGGAAGTAGCCGCAATATGGCAGCGTTTTTCGATCGAGTCCCTGAACTTGACAAGCCTTGTGAAATGCGATGTACGTACCACACATGACGATGAAGTTAATCACTCCACCGGCAGTAATGATATTCGTCAACCAGGTGAGCACCTTGGCGGAGTTGTCAGACAACTGGAGGAAGGAGAGGAACGGAAATAGCATGACTAAAAGGAAGCAATTGATGGGAACCTGTTCAAATTAGTATACTTGATAATAATTGTTGATCTAGTACACCTACGCCTGCTTTCGTGCACTTTCGAAAGATCTTTGGGGCTCGCCCTTCAATTGCCAGGGCGTACAAGCTGCGAGTTGCACAATACGTCAGGGTATTGCCTGCTGAGAAAATACTGGTGACCAAGAGCGCATTGACGAGATGCGGCAGACCGTCGATGCTCATGTTCTTCATAGCAATGACGTATGGAGAGGCTGCAGCACTCTTCTCCCCCGATTCCAAGACAGCTACCAGCTCAGGATCGTTGTAAGCCAAGACGATACCAACACAAAGTGCTCCTAAGATAAAAAAGGCACCAAAGCGGTAGTACAACGTCTTGTATGCCATCTTAATGTAGACACGTGGGCGTTTTGCCTCGCCAGCTACCATAGAGATGTACTCAGGTCCGACGATACAGAATGAGGCAGCCCAGAGTGATCCTAGCCAGCCCTCGAAGCGGCCCATTCCTCCGTTATGATGCGCGTTCATCGGCCCAGGATCTCTCCAATGCCGGAAACCGTACGGGTCCTTGTGTGGGTTTGCCCCGACCATAGTAAAGAAGGTGAATGCGTACAGGATAAGGATCAAGATAACCTTGCCGCCTGATAGCCAGAACTCAGCTTCACCGTAGGCTTTAACCGCGAGAATATTGCAGGCACTAGAAGTCATCAGTCTTAATGCGACCTCATCGAGGGGCCAGGGAGCATACGCATATAGCACGATAACTGCGCTACAGACGGCTGCGACAGGAATATCGTCTCTCCAGAAGTTCAGCACTAAGTTCAGTGCTGTGATCTCAAAGGGGATAAGAAGCGCTTCGTATAAAAAGAAGTTCCATCCGGCCATGAATCTGGTTGGAGGTTAATTACATGAGACATACCCAGGCGCGTCAAGTGGGTTTTACCCAAGAGCATCATCTACCCAATGCCCCGCTAGCCGGATAAAGCCTCCCGACACAGGCATGAAGCATGCCATTTCTGCCATGGCGTTGTTGACAAGAGCAATGATACCAGAGTAACCGGCATATGCAATTAGTATACCTAACGGGCCTCCTGAGTTGAGCGCACCGCCAATACTAATAAACAAGGCAGTTCCAATTGAGCCACCAATAGCGATCAGTTGGATTTGGCGATTTCCAAGATGTCGTTGTAGGTCATCTGCGTTGTCGTTGACAGTACCCTGACCAAACTGGCCATCAAGCGTCTCGATTGGGGTGACTGGTGCACCAAGTGCCTCTGCGTCATGCTCCTTACCCTTCATGTTATCAGAGGAACAATATCCTTTTCAGTAAGTACTTGAACAAAATTTGTAATAATGAAGGAATTAACTTCAAATAGGTCGAAAAGGAAGGGGGGAGTAAATCAAAGGCAATGAGTTCATGTAGACTATATAGTGAAAGGTACAGTAGAGTACGCTGCCTTACAATTGAAGTCGGGTTAGCGTAAGCGCAGATAAGGCACAACTCTACAGGGCCACACGCTGTCCCCAAGAACTAGTCTGCACATCATGTAGAGAGCATACGCAAGGCAACGCACATATAATATAAACAATTATTATACCTAGGAATTATCAAAAGAGGTTGAGTTTAAGCTAGAGGTTATTTTCTACTTGAATCTACTCGAACTTATAGTCAAGTATTGTGAAACTACTGACTTGACAGACTGACTCAGTAAAATATGGACCTGCTCGACTCTACTATTTATGAGTATTGATACCTCATTTCTTTTATCTGACAACAATTACTGATTTCTTGTTGCCCCGCATAATCTTTTACTTGAAAAGTATCTGATTTCAATCACCTGTTCAAAGAAGCTCGCAACGCAATATAAGATCGGTTCTGAAACAGAAGGCTTGCATGCCAACCGTCTAACATTGAAGCCATGTCTATGTCAGGCAAAGTGGTAGGGATACCTCACCATTTACGTTGTCTGTACTAAAATCAACGTAGATTGGTGTAACTGGTGCTGGAAGTGGCATAGGTCGCGCTACGGCAATGCTTTTAAGCAGACAAGGCGCAACACTGTCGTTGACAGACTTGAACCAAGCCAGCTTGGATCAGACTGTGGAGCTGCTTGATAAGAGTCAATCCCACAATGTCATGACAATGGTAGTCAATGTGGTGGATACAGAACAGGTTCATGCTTGGATCAGGCAAACTGTGGCGAAGTTCAAGCGATTCGATGGTGCTGCCAACGTTGCTGGTATTTTCAGACCTCTTCGACTCGAAGATTCGACTATCAGTGATTGGGATCTTATGATGGACGTCAATGCAAAGGGAGTCTTCCACTGCTTGCAAGCCCAGATTAGAGCTTTTGATGATGCAGGCGGCAGTATTGTAAGCACAGATACCGAGACCGTTTTCACTCACCACCCGGGTTGAACTAACATTCTGTTCATAGGTGACGGTCGCATCATCTGCAGGCGTTAAAGGCCTAGCTTCGGCGCCGATTTACGCAGCGTCGAAACATGCTGTTATTGGATTATGCTCCTCTGTCGCGCAAGACGTTGCATGCAGAAAGATTCGAGTCAACACGGTCGCCCCAGGACTGGTAGACACCCCCATGACTCAATCCGTGCTGCTTGCAGGCACTCAACGAGCTAACCCCATGAACCGAGCTGCACGCGTAGAAGAAATTGCCAGCGTAGTCGTGTACCTTTTGAGTGATGACTCGTCATTCGTGACAGGGGCTTGTTGGCGAGTGGACGGTGGATATACTATATAAGAGCACAGTTATAGTTGTTAATGTTTATGGTTGTTAAAATGTATCGTCGATAGATCTATCATCTCCCTCGGCTTCCCAATCTATCTCAAGTTTTAGTGATTCGAAGAAGCCTAGGGCCTGATCTGAGGGAACAGGGCCTTGGTCAAAATAAAGCAATCTATGTTCATAACAAAGCGCTCAAGTAATAGCCGTACACAATGCTCCACGATGCTCTATTTGACTCTAAATGGCTTACTGTTGATATGTATCTCGAGTCCCTTAGTTGTTGGTCCAGTTGCAAGCCCTATTCACCTCTAGGATTCACTCTTCTAACTCTATTGCACAGTATTGCTAGGTAGACGGCGTAAACCTTGCTATCATGTTTGAGGTAGATACGTGGATATCGAAACATTTGTAGTTCCGATCTTGCGTCCTGGGCCATTTGGGTTAGGGCATATGTAATAGGGAATCAACCCATAGAATTCCACCAACGGAGTCGTGGTAATTGAAATTGAAAGGGGGTAATTAGTTCTGGTCCAAGGAGGGCAGAGGCGTGACTTGTTTTGGTGTTCGCACCCGAAGCGGTCGCTGAATGGTCACTTTGAGAACATGCGGGGTAAAATAGCTCAACTCTACCACCATGCGTACCTGGTAGTACATACTGAATTGATGTTGGTAGTCTCCGTTTTCATGAGAACCCACTTCCTCCGCATCAATTTCCTCTTTGTGGTAGGTGATGTGCTCGGACGCCATCCGCTTACGACTTCATGACTACTTTATAACAGGGATAGATTGCTGCATCAAAGGTAAACCCCAGGCAAGGCGGCGTTGCAAGAAGATCTCAAAGCTGCTGCATTTTCATATCATAACCAAGCCTCTTCGTCCAAAGATGTCAGCGCCAGACCTCAAAATCAGGAGGATCGACGTTTTCTCCGTCGACCTCCCCTACTCCGGCGGCGTCTATTACCTCTCTGAAGGTCGGACGTACACCCACTTCGATGCTACAATCGTCCGCATCAATGCGTGCTCCTCTTCAGGCGCCGAAATCGAAGGATGGGGTGAATCCACGCCATTCGGCAGCACCTATGCGCCTTCTCATGCCCGCGGCGTGCGCGCAGCAATCGCAACGATAGCCCCAGAGCTGATCGGTCTAGACCCGCGACGCGTCGAAAGAATTAATGACGCCATGGATTCCGCCCTCAAGGGCCACGAAGATGCGAAGACTGCGCTTGACGTGGCGTGTTGGGATATCTTTGGCAAATCCGTTGGTCTACCCGTTTGTGAATTACTTGGTGGCCGGACGGATGTCGAGCTGCCAATGATATCGAGTCTAGGCGTCTGTAGTCCCGAGGAAATGAGGAGGCAAGTGCAGAAGTTTCGGGATGAAGGGTACATGGGTCATAGTGTGAAGGTCGGCACAAATCCTGTGAATGATGCAGCAATCATCACATCAGCACTAGCCGACAAACAGGAGGGCGAGTTTTTCCTCGTGGATGCAAACTGCGGTATGACGACTGAAAGCGCTTTGAGAATGCTCAGGTTACTGCCACCCGGCCTAGATTTTGTGCTTGAGAGCCCATGTGCAACTTGGCGCGAGACAGTGTCGTTGAGGAAGAGGACAAACATTCCCATCATTTTCGACGAATTGGCTACCGATGAGGCCTCTCTCGCACGCATGATCTCCGAAGATGCTGCTGAAGGAATTGGACTGAAGATCTCGAAGGCTGGCGGGCTGACAAGGGCAAGGCGGCAAAGAGATATTTGCATCGCCGCTGGCTACACCCTAAGTGTGCAGGATACGACGGGTAGTGACATTGCGTTTGCAGCGATTGTCCACCTAGCTCAGACAGTGCCGCAGAAGAATCTGCGGTGTATCCTGAACTCAAGAGGGATGGTGACGCTAAAGACGGCAAATTCGAGTTTTGAAGAGTCAGGAAAAGGTGTTAAGGCAGGTAAAGCCCCGGGTCTAGGTATCGAGGTAAAGACCAATGTTCTGGGCGAAGCAGTGGCAAGCTATGTGTAGATAAAAGACCAGCAGTGCAGGGTATGTCATGGAGGCTTGTACATGGATCACAGCTTCTCTTACTATTCGGGCATCATACTCTTTGCTACTAGCAATACACAGTTCTATAATTACATTTACTTCTCAACTCTGCAATCTATTCTTCTACATGCCAGACAGGTCTAAGGCCCTGCGTAATTTTCAGCATAGGGACAAATCTACAACATTTGGAATACTCAAGTATTGTGCCGGCTTCATCTTCACTAGGGAAATAGTGATTAACCTTGTGGGTGACTTGGTTGGGGTTGTGCCAGACGTGCCTGCCATTTCGCCAGCAGGCATTCTGAGGTTGGCCATTGACGACTGGAAGACACACAACGGGTCTTTCACGTCTCGGAAATCACGTCGAGCTTCTGTTCTATCTACACTGTCCGAATACAGCAGCAAAATAGCAGTCATTACTATGGGTTGCATGCGTGGTCTGCACTTGTTACCATGAACACGGTGGGAAATACCCGACTTGGTTTTGCGGGCAGAAAGAGATGGCTGCAACTAGATTGTAGAATTTGAGACATTTGGAGATTTTGTCTTGATATTGACCTGTGCTCAAAACATATTCGAGTGAATCTTCCAAGACTGCAACATCAATTTCAGTTTATATCTAGTACAATCTTCCCACTGCTAGCCTTTAACTGGAAATCCTCCTGTGCTTCGCCTATATCCTGGAGCTTGTAGACCTGCCCAACATGCGGCTTAATCTCCCCCTTCTCAATGTAAGAGATAAGGTTGGCGAACACTTCCTCATCCTGGAATGTACAGCCGAAGAAGCTTAAATCTTTCAGGTACAGTGTTCGTAAATCCAGCTCCACAATCGGGCCCGCAATAGCACCAGCTGTTGCATACCTGCCCCCTTTCTTCAAAACGTCGAGTAACTCTGCAAAAGATGGACCGCCCACAACATCCAGCACGACATCTACACTCATCCTCCCCAGCGCACCTACAACACTTTCGCCTCGTACAACTACCTCGTCAGCCCCTAACTCCAGAACCTGTCCCTGTTTCTCTTTCCCTGAAACTGCGACTACCCGCGCTCCGCGCCGCTTGCACAGTTGCACTGCGGCCGCACCGACGCCGCCACTCGCGCCCGTAATTACTACAGTCTCGCCTTGGCCAACCCGGCTTCGATGCAGCATATTCTCTGCTGTAGAAAATGCACACGGCACACTGCCGAGCTCCAGGTCTGTCCATGACGGCGCATTGACCGCGTACACGTCTGCGGACGGCGCTTTGGTGTACTGAGCGAACGCGCCGTCGCATTCTGAGCCGAACGTCCAGCACTCGAATGCTACACTCGAAGTGTAATGCATGAGCATACTGCGTACGAGGACGCGCTGCCCAATGCGCGAAGACGAAACGGAAGAGCCAACAGCCACGATGTATCCGCAGCAGTCAGCACCCTGAACACGAGGGAATTCTAGTGCTTTTCCAGACCATGAAGCATCTTCGTCTGTTCGGGTTTCGCTGGCAGCAGTTGATTCTGAAGCCGTCCCTTGCTTGATGCCCTTGCTGTACCACCCGATTCGCGTATTGATGTCGGTGTTGTTTAACCCTGCTGCCGCGACTTTGATCAGCACTTCTGTGGCGCTTAATTCAGGGACGGGCAGATCGGTTCTGTATTTGAGCACTTCTGGTCCACCGTGACCGGTAAGGATGACGCCAGACATTCTGTCAGGGACCCGGGGCGCTTGGATCAAAGCTGTCATTATGAGCACTCCGGTAGTGTATAGTTGCAGGCTTTCACAATTTTGACTCGACGATTTGCTTGTTAGAAAGGGGCGTAAAGGTCGACTATAAAAGGGCCAGAAAGACTTGAAAAGGTAATTACTTGAAGTAGAGTTATAATAGCCTGTCAGATTTGATCCTATGCAGTTGCTCTGATTGGTCACTTTAGAAGCATGCTTCCCAACCCTTAATAATGCAAAGTGTCCCGGTCTGCCTTCCCCGTTTAGATTAATCGCTACGGGTACCTCGAAGAAGACAATTTTTACAGTATCTTCCTACTATGCCTACTCTCCCTGTGCCTATTTACTTTATCGACTTAGTGGCTGGTTTTCTCTGGTTCCGCACGATTATCAGCAAGCGCCAAGACCACTCGTGTTCGAAGTGTACGTACTGGCTATCATCTTCGGAGCATTTGCGGTTAATTACTTGTAATTAGTTTGGGGGATTGGAATGGTACTCATCGGGATTTAATGGTCTACGCAGTGCCACATCTTAAGTATATTGCAACGCCACAGGATTAACACATCTTGGTAACATTCCACAGTAAATATAGGCGGGGATGTCTGGGTTCGCTGGAAGTACATTGAGCTGTGAAATGTCTTTTCTCTTAGCTTTGATACATGGTATAGTGCAGTCCCACTACCACCGAAGTCCCGTTGTCCTTTTCTTCCTACCACATTGTCGCGCCTAGACGAACATACAGCCCGGAGGCAACAACTACGGTTAGGAAGAGTAAGGCATCTAGCATCTATTCAGATTATCTACATATCGAATGAGGTGAAGGGATCTTTCCTAGGGTACGACTCATTGCCTAAATACCTATATCAATAAGTGGATCTACTCTTCTGCTGTACAGGAAACTGCGTTATCGAAATTGAGAGTACTGGTGAAAAGAGCATATGTATCCTTCATCTTACGTGCACTATTGATTATTTCAAATCTACCCTTCACGTTCAATTGCTAAAAGTCTATTATTCTGGCTCTTGTTGTAGTTTTTATGATAGAACAGCAACTTCCTGCTGGTATTAAACCCATGTCCTCGATCTTCGGAAGGCAAGAAAAAGCAAAATCCAAGGCACTTACGCCATTTCGACGAACACCTCGATATACAATCTATGCCGCTTTAATATGCCCAGCTGCGGCAATCCAAAGTCAATATCAAACAATTCAGGAAATCAGAGATGAACGAACGAATAGGCATTCTGCTTCCTCGTTTACATGATCGTTGTGATCTACTGTACAGATCCCTGCACACAGTTGGGCAAATTTTCGAGAATGCTTAGGTAGCTCATTCATATTACGTATGAAAATGGATGGGATAAGAATGTGAGGATGTGAAGTAACACGTGAGCCATGGAGGGAAATTAGTTGTTCTGCCGATACTCTTGCTGCACTAATGCTCTTGCTCAGTACATTGTAGGCAGCAAAATCCAACGAAATGCGGTACTCGTTTCCATGTGGTGACATAAACTCATCTCTGACGAACATCATTTCAAGTACGACGCTTTCTCATCGACTCCCACATTCAGATCAAGCAATGCCGAACCACTTCGCATCTTGAGCCCCTTGAACCGAAACAGGATGACCAACACCAACGGCCCAGGTTCCTTGGAGTTGAGATCCGTACACGTACGTTATCCATCCACTGACTGGCGTATTTTGCTGCACAGTATCCGGGATTGTGTCGTAGCCAAACACAGAAGCCCAAGCAGCAAGCGTCGTGTTGAACGACGATGAGCCAATAATAGTGTCCAGCGATCCCAAATACGTCTGCACTTTGGGATATGTCCCGGTCCAGCTGGGATACATGCTGCGTATGTTGCCCGAATACCCAGCGGAATATATCACTGCAGACTTGAAGATATCCGGGTAGACGCCGGCCATGGTGTTCTGCAGCAGCTTGGTTCAGTCGACTTTCCCATCTAGGATCAAAGGACTTACCGCCATAGTGCCGCCCGATGACTGTCCCGTTACGCCAACTTTGGCAGTATTCACTTTGTATGTACTGATAGCGTAGCTCGCCATGTTTGCGATGGACTGGCTCGCACCACCTCCATTGTGCGTTAATGAGGCTTTTGAAGTTGCATCCCACGCCCCTACAGGTGACTCTGGGTAAACAACTATAAAGCCAAGTTGATCAGCAAGAGTAGCGTACGGTGTAGAAGTAAATTCCTGCTGCGCGTTACCAGAAGCACCGTGACAGGCAACAACTAGACCAGGAGATGCTGCGAGAGTGCTTGGCACATAGATGTACATGTTCAATGAAGCTGGATTAGAGCCCCAATTGCTGACTTTAGTCAAGGACGCACGCTTGACGAGCACACCAAAGCCGGATGAAACTCCAGAGAGAAGAGTGCATGTGAGAAAATTGGAGAAATGCATAATGCTCGAAGCGGGATTTTGAAGTTGATCAAGCACAAAAGGAGCTTCGCGCGATGCGTGATTGATGCTCAATTTACCTGGCCTTTATATACAATCGTTCCGCCGTACTGTTTCCTCACGAACGCGAGGATTATAACGGCATTCAGCGGGGGTATTCCGAAGTGATATGGTGTCCACAGCGAACTAGTCTCATGAGAATATTTTTAAGTCGACGCTAATTGGCTGCGAAGACCCTGAATGCCTGCGTTTACCGCCTCGGCGTGACCGGAATGAGATCGCAACGAGATTCGGGATGCGAGCACGTGGCGGCAGGGACGCGGGAGTGGCGGGGTAGAATCTGGGGTACATCAGGTAAGAAATTAGTTGCTTGTTGTTCGTATGGAGGTGTTGGATCAGGAGATTACGCCAAGACAAAGTGCCAGCATTTACCGACTTTTCTTGCAAGATCACGACGCTGATAACGTGTGACATTGTCCTTCATACAATTGCTTCCTTCACCTCCGGAACCTCTTGCGCGGTTGTCATTATAGAATCCGCTTCAGTGACGACCAATTGCTCATCTGCTCTAACAAAGCCTACGCGAAACTTGCGTGCACGTAATACAAGGCTCGTGATTCGTGCCGGAAACGAAAAACAGGACGCGGCCTTGGTGATGCACCCGATGCAGTAGGCACGCCCACGACGCCGTGCAAGCGCTGCTGCCGAGAAAAAAGACTGTGCACCTTTGGAATCAAAAGAAATTCTAAAAATAAAATGAAAATGGGGAGCTGCCAACCTGATGAGATGCACCTGGGTACTGATTACACAACTTTGCTGGAAATGCATGTGAATCTCTTGCAAGACAATTTTGTACAATCTGAACCACCGAATCCACCCACGAGAGCTTCGAGTGCCGGTGGATCCAAGCTACAGGATGACTATACCAAGAGAGCTAACTACAGCGCCACTAACAGCACAGACTTGCCAACACACGCCGAAGCCAAAGATAGTTTAGGGTTTTGAACCGAATGATGGGTGGATGACGTTACTTACATACTCTTCGGTGCAACCCTTCATGCAAGATCCAAGGGTGTTTGGCTATCCATGGGCGGACGAGACGACTCTGGTCTTCATTTGGAATTTCGACGGCTGAAGACTGTGGCGCGGCCAATCTCAACCATGCAGTCCGACCTTATCCAGCACCAGCTATTGCTTTAGAGCTTCTTGTATATGGAGCCGCACAACTTGGTATACGCCTACTAAGCAAAAGCCGCATAGATAATCAACTATCTCGACTGTGGTGAAGGGAAGGTCTCTTCTGCCACCAAGCAATCGAAGTTCCCGCATAGTCCGACGGAGCAGTTAGGATGGTGAAAATTGAGGGATCTAGGTAACCATACGAATTTATCCCGGTTGTATTAGAGCTTCCCTGGATCATACTCGTATAGGTAATTGTTTCTATGCTAGGTAATTACATTGAATGGTGTGTAGTCTTATTGAGATGAAAATAAGGCATTGTTACACTCTCACGGAATCTCCGACGAGGAAGGACTGATCATCGTTGACATATGCAACTGGCTTTTGATAGATTTTCTGGTCAGCAAATCTATTCGGGCCTGTAGGGCCTAGTCTGTCAGCTGAAATTGACTCTGATAGATCTCGCAGATATAGGCCCGAGCAACGCCGTGAGGAAACGTCACGCGGTATCTTTAAGCGTGAGCACGCCTGAATTCTTAAACCTTATGCCCCTCGGATTGACAGAAATTCGCTAGTCTATACAAGCAGTTAACCGAGTTCCGTCTGAATGTTGAGAACGCCATGTTCGAGAAGTAGCCGTCTGCTGAGTGAAATACTTGCTAACCCATATCTCGTCCTGCGGCGAAGACGTAGATAGCTAATCTAGACTTCACAGCTACAGCTCCACCAACATAATTGAGACCGATAACCTAGTCGACATCTGTACTAGAATCCAACGGGTCCTACTTGGTCTGATATACAATTTGGTTCAAAATGCTGCCTTTCTTAGCAGCCTAGCATTAGTATGACGACAAGTAGAACGAAGATGATTCAAGCGATATGGATGGGGATGACTTCGACAGTGAGGGACTCAGTGGTGGGTGACAAGGCGGAACAGGATGGAGAGCGGACAGACGAAGAAGAGGACGTTGGCAAAGACAGATAGATCCATTTGAGTCAGTTCAAGCGACACGTTATTCCAGTAGTCACTCCATCTCGTTTCGCAAGCCTTTTCGCCGAAGGCTAGGACGGTAATCTCATGCTGGGCACACCTCACATCACCCAAGCTGATGAGCTATGCAGATAACGCCGGCCGAATACAACAGCCAGCTGTAATAAAAGTTAAAATTACTTATCGTCTGCCATAGCTGGACCACGAGCTTTCGAGAGCGCCTAACTGGTCAAGCATGGCTGGAGCATTCTTTGCGAGTACCCAGCAGCGGCCCATTCGTTGACCAGGTCTTGACATCGGAACATTACGAGTCTTGTTCAGGACTGCGGTTGATCCGAATTGCTTGTTCGCAACCTCGTGAATTGTGATACGCTATCGGATTGTCCCGAGGCGAGACGCGAGTCGTGGTTGGTTTGTAGTGTGGAGTCGGGAACCAACATAGTACAGTCTAGAGCCAGAAAGAGCATCTGGTCGGGGAATGAAGCTGAGGCTGCCGAACATAGGAGATTTGTCCTCATTGAATTAAATTCCTACGAGCTAAGCCTGTAGCAGCCCAATACCGTTCTTCATCTAAGGCCATCGCAACAAGGGATCTACATCGTAGATGACGGCCAGCATATGAAACTATCGGAAGAAGCCGACGTGTAAGTCGCCTCGGCACACAGGCCTCTAGCAGACTACCACACTGTGTAAAGTGCATCTCAGCATGGCGATTGACCTGATGATCGTGTGACTGAATATGCGGATAGGTCCGAGTCAGCAACGCTGTTTGATGCTGGAGCTGAAGGCTTCACCTACATGTAGATGTAACAGATTCATATAGATCTGCATCCGCATCAGCGCTACCAATGCCCATCAGGCCAGACACAGTGTTTCTGTGGTAGATTCAATTCATCATCAATCTGCTAAATATTATTGCAGCTTCCCTTGCAATCATGCTATCCAAAGTCCTTCCGGTTCAGCACCTGCCGCAAGGTGGTCCGGGGAAGCAGACCAATCATTACGTTCATCCGGACGATCTTCGCACAGCATTCGCCCTAGAAATGTCACGGATGTACAGGAACGAGGTCCCTCTGTACAGCGATCTGATACGGATTGTTGAAGGAGTAAACGACCAAAAGTTTGCTCAATCAATCAACTCCAACACTATGGATCGCCTAGACTTGGAACGACATGGCGCTATTCGCCTAGGAAAGCCTATGGAGATGCGCACTGTTTGTCGCATTTTTGGAGTGCTCGGGATGAGGCCAGTGGGTTACTATGATCTATCTGCGGCTGGTCTACCAATGCATGCGACATGCTTCAGGCCGACAGCGGTGAGCTCATTAGCCAAGAATCCCTTCCGAATTTTCACGACCTTGTTACGACCTGAGCTGATTCGGTCGAAAGAAGCGCAGGATCTAGCTGAGTGTATGTTAGCCAAACGTACAATCTTCAGCCCTGAGCTGATGCGGATGTTGAACACTGCTGAAAGCCAGGATGGGCTGGATCCGGAACAGGCAGGAATCTTCATCCAGGAAACCCTCAAGACTTTTAGTTGGGCTCCAACTGCTGCTGCTACAGCTGAGGAATACCAGCTACTCAAGGCTCAACATCCAATCTTGGCCGACATCGCCTGCTTCAAGACAGCTCACATCAATCACCTCACTCCTCGGACACTCGACATCACCACGTCACAGGAGAACATGCGCAAGGAGGGCATGGCAGTAAAGGACAGAATCGAAGGCCCTCCATCCCGACGCTGTCCAATCCTTTTGCGCCAGACAAGTTTTCTTGCCCTTGAAGAGCCAATCAAGTTTGTCAACAACAGCCACGATGAGTCTCTGCAGATGGTCCAGGGTTCTCACAAAGCTCGGTTCGGAGAAATCGAGGAGCGCGGCGCAGCTGTCACACCATATGGTCGAAAGTTCTACGATGAGCTCCTAAGCAAGGCCATGGAGAATGCTACCGGGATGAGCCCTGAGGAAGTAGATGAGCAAATGATATCTACCTTTTGCAGCTTTCCAGACGATTGGGATGAGCTTCGAGCACAGGGCCTGATATACTACGAGTATGAATGCACTGGCAAGAGCATTCCCGACACAATTACATCGTGTGGCACAGATAGGGCAACCATCGTTCAGCAGCTTCTAACAGAGGGCGTGTTGGAAACGAAACCAATCACGTACGAAGACTTCCTCCCTTTCTCAGCTGCCGGAATCTTTCAGTCCAACCTAGGCGACAAGTCCAATCAGGACAACTTGCCCATCCTTAAAGGATCGGCTGCACAAGATCAACTTGAGAGGGCGTTAGATATGTGTATTATAGACCCAGATCAACTGTACGCCTCCGCGCAAGAGGCTAGCTTGGAGATATGTCTGCGCAAGCTAGGTACAAGCCGTCGAACATAGCTTGGCATTGGAAGGAGAAACTGTTTTGTGCATCGTAACGAATAATTGAATAGAGAAATTGATCTGAGGGCCTCGAGTCAGAGCATAATTAGCATACGCATGTATACACTTTGGGATGCCCGTAACGACAGCTGAGAGGCAAATGTGCAATGTCAAAAACGAAGACGTGCTAAACTTCCCGCAATATGCGATACTAAGATGCGTGGGCGTATTCGTCTGCAGCTGATGCCGCAACAAAACAATCATCTGCCTTGTCTCCACTCATCAAGCCTGTAGCAATCGTGAACTCGGTAAGCCCCGGAGCCAGTTGGAATGACTGCACGACCGTTCCGCTATCGGGACTTACCTTGGGTCTTCCACGCCTGGAATATCCCGAACGAAGCAGCCTCGTGCTGCGCCAGAACAAAGTGTGCGGCATCCCGTAAATGACCCTACGAGTATGTGACTATGCCATTGAGTATAACACATTGGGAATTCTTTACCTGAAAATCAATTCTATACAAGCTGGGATTTAACATGGATCAAGGACTTCATCATTGGCTACACAGGATTCGAGGAATAGAAGCTTTGCGGACTTGCATTTCATCATGCCAGCCACAAGCACCAACAGCCAGCAACTGAGCCGCTGCTATGGTCTTCAGCGCCACGTAGTTCTCCAGGCACCATTTCGCCCGGCTTTCCGTCAAATCAGTTTCTTGAAGGAGCTGAGATTAGATAAGTCGTCAACGCCGAAGACAAGCAAAACCTCGGCCATGACTAAAGCGGGTATTGCGCTTGCTGTTGGCACCTTCAGCGTTATAAGCACGTACTCTCTCTTCAACTTGATACCTATTTCTACGGCAGATAAAAGCATTCTAGAGAATGCGCAAGACATCTCTCCCCGCTTCGCCAGCATCAGGCAAATGAATAAGGTGTGTATTGAATCTTCGTTGTTTTGAAGAACTCATAGAGCTAATCAGGATTCAAGGCCATTGATGAGATCAGACATGAGCTGAGTGATACAGAGGATATCATATCCACAGAAGATGAGGATCTGAAAGCACATGGATTTTCTGAGTGGTCTTCAGTCAACATCGATGTTCTTCCTGTAGCGGTTGCTTACCCGCGCTCAACAGATCAGGTCAGCACTATGGCCCGTATCTGCCACAAGTATAAGGTCCCAATCATTCCCTACAGCGGTGGAAGTAGTCTGGAGGGACATACAGCAGCACCATTTGGTGGTATAAGCATCGACTTTGCCTTCATGGACAAGATACTGAGCTTCAGAGAGGCGGATATGAATGTCACAGTTCAGCCAGGCATAACATGGACGGATTTGAACCATGAGCTCACCAAGAGAGAAGGGAACTACTTTTTCCTAATAGATCCAGGTCAGTCTCGTCGTAGCCGCATCCGAGTGTGGACTCGTTCAAAATTTCACCGCGCATGCTTCCGAGCGAACATGTCCAAATTCGAGTTTGCTGATACAAGGTACAGCTCCCTCTGCAAAGATTGGAGGTATGATTGCCACAAATTGTTCTGGGACAAATGCAGTCCGCTATGGAACAGTGCGAGACTGGGTTATCAATCTCACCGTTGTGCTAGCGGATGGCAGTGTGGTCAAGACCAGACGCCGGCCTCGCAAATGCTCAGCTGGCTATAATCTCAACGGTCTAATAGTCGGCTCGGAGGGCACCCTCGCCATCGTGACAGAAGCAACTTTGAAGCTCGCTGCTTTCCCATCTTACTTCTCCGTTGCAGTGATTCCCTTCAACTCTCTGAAGGAGGCTGTCTCGGCTGCGGCGGCTGTCATTCGAAAAGGTGTTCCCTTTGCAGCGCTTGAGCTTATGGATGAAGAGCAGATGAGAATTGTAAATGAAGGTGGTGCGACAAGGCCAAGGGTGTGGGATGAAACGCCCACTTTGTTCTTCAAGTTCTCTGGCACCGAGGGAACTGTGGGTGACAACATCAAAACTGTGAAAAGCATTGTCACACCACACAAATCCAGAGCGTTTAACTTTGCTACGAGCAAGGAAGAACAGGAATCACTTTGGTCTGCACGGAAAGAATCTCTGTACTCCCTCTTGGCGCTCCGAAAAGAAGGACAGTTTCTTTGTGAGTGGCTGCTCCATCATGCCCAACAGGAGGACTCAGACTGACGACAAGATCGAAGGGAACACCGATGTTGCTGTTCCTTTGGGAGCGCTCGCTGAATTGATTGAGGAGATTAAAGCTGAGGCCAAAAAGCTGGGACTCCAGGTATGTGTCAAGGGCCATATTGGAGACGGTAATTTCCATGAGAACATTACCTACACACCATCCAACCCCGAGGAAGCAGCGAATACCGAGGTAGCCGTGAAGAATATGGTGAAGAGGGCTCTCGAGAAAGATGGCACATGTACCGGCGAGCACGGAATCGGGTACGGGAAGAAGTCAGCACTTGCATCCGAAGTTGGGGGTGATACTCTGCTACTCATGGTGAGACCAATATTTCCTCCGGCCAGGCATAACATGCTCGTGGCGAGGGGACTTTCTCTGCATAAAGGAACGTTTGCTGACGCCGCGAACCAGAAATTACTGAAGAAGTCGCTTGACCCGCATTGGATTTTGTAGGTTTGGCCGTGCCCCTTTGTTTCTTACCAGCAAAGCTAACTCTTCGCCTCAGGAATCCTGGCAAAATCTTTGATCCTTGATCACATTGAAGTTGGGTTTACTTACATTTGCAGTAACACTGTATGGGTGGAAAAAGAGGTGATAAGGCGGAGGCCCAACATACACTGTGTCATAGATCCAGGAGTGTCTAAATCCTTAAGCCTAGATTGTGATCTGCACCTAAACGGCAGACTTTGCTACTTTAAATGAATAACTTCTTCAAGGGCAGCCTTTCCAACCGTCTCCAGCGTTTGATGTCATATTTTTCAGATAGAGACACTCTCCCAAAACGAACATGAGCGGCTGATACTGTTGACTGGTCACCAATATTTCATTCATGCCTGAACACCAACATGAAACATAAACCCGCTGATGGAAATGACGATGCTTTTGAATTCTAACAAAGTACATTTTCAAAGCCTTGATCGGGTACCGCTATTCAGTTGTGATTCCTTGACAACAGGGATGTTACCCCATGCCCTCGATCCTCTTGAGCCGCTCATGAGCTCATTGATCGGTTGGCTAGCGCTGTCAGGCTGCCTCCATTTCCACGCCCGAACAGCTGGGCGAGATAAATCGACCCCCTCCATGATATCGACGACCCAATTGCCAATATTGGGGAGGTATTTGAACGCGTGACCACTTCCACCTGTTGCGACCATTAAACCCCGCGTCTGGGGCACATAGTCTATGACAAAGTGATTATCATAGGTATCCGTATACCAGCAGATGCGAGTTTTGCTGATCTCAATCCCTTCAGCGGCTAGCTGGGGAAGATATTCGTCGAGGAACTGGGTAATTACACGGTAGGCTTGCTTTGGGATGTCGGTGAGCTTCTCGCCAACGGGTTCTTTGCCATCGCGATGAGCAGGAGACCATCTAGTAGCAGGCGTGCTCCTCTCCTTCCCATCGCCATGCTTGAGAGGGTTGGTGTACTTGGTCCCGCGATACCCGATCTTGAGCCAGCCATTTTCGTCGATTGGGAAGCCATAGAGACCGCCCTTGGCGCCATTACGAATATCCCAAGTCCATGTTGGGAAATTCTCTGGCAGCAAGCGGTCCCAGAGAGGTGAGCTTCTTGGGATCTTGAGAAGAACAACACTACCGGCCGTTGCTTCGCAGAGTCCATCGAGCTGGGGTAGGAGAACTGGTGTCCATCCTCCGCAGGCCACGATCGTCATAGCTGCTGTGTGTGTCTTGCCATCCATTGTTCTGATACCCACAACCTTTTCTTTCTCTTTGCTGTCATAGCACAGTGACTCGAATTGCCCTTGTGGCGCCCCAAAAACAAAGTCGACTCCGAGGGCTTTCGCCTTGTGAAGTGCAAAGCGACAGGCTTTATCTGCGACAGCCATGCCGCCGGTGACATCCAGCACACCAACATTAGGTTTGCCCTGTCTCTTCCTTTGGAAAGGATCTATAGCGAAGGCCATGCCGATGGAATCTGCGATTTTGCAATGTCTCGGGTTTGTAGTGTCGAGCATCTTATCCTCATGCCCAGCAGCTTGCATCCCCTCGATGCACGCCACCTCCCACGGCGGCAGCTCTTGGGCCGTAGACATGGAGATGTTGCCATTTGGTACGAAGACGCGATCACCCTGGCTCATGCCTGGAGGGAGGGTGGCGGCCGTGGCGAGTTCTTCATTCCAGCTCCTCCATGCAGCAATGGCCTCAGTGGAAAGAGCTTGGTACTCAGACTGACCACCGTAGGCTGACCTGATAATCTTGTTCATATCGGCCGAGGCACCCTCGGCACCGTTGAGGTAAGAGTACCGCAACTCATCACATGGTTGACGATCGAACACAGTGACATTGCTGTAACCACGGCGAGCAAGATGAAGAGCCGTGCTGAGTCCAAAGATGCCACACCCGACAATAATGACGGGCTCATGCCGTTGCTGAGTGGATAATGCGTGTGGCATGATTAGGTGTGACTGTGTGCGCAGGTAATTGGATGGTGCGCGTTGCTGATGGCTTCTGTCTGATGGCCAGATGCGAGTAAGAGTTCAAATGCGAAGATGTGAGGCTGTAATGGGAATCAATGGACCGAAATAGAATCATAGAGAATGATGCAGTTGATGGTCCATTAATTAGGTATTATGTTACGCATGCGATGGTCAAACCCGATAACTAAGGTACTTGTACAAGTAGAAGCGATGGTCCGTATGGAGTACATAGTCTCCAGATATGCCCCCTGGTCCGTGCCACCAATCATGGCGAGGGGTCACGGATCCTTCCGACCACCTGGTTGACATTGACAAATTAGGGGGTCGACCGGCGGTCGACCAGTCACCATGCTATGTACAATACACAGTAGTTACAATCCATGAGAAAAACGTGTTGCGTACGGGGTGGGCAGCTAAATCTCCCCCCAAGCGTCCCGAGAACAGGGACCTGGAGAAGTCTGGGGCAACTGAGGCCAGGCCATACGCGACACCTGATGCTCTGGGCTGGTTCAATTGACATCGAATTCTCCAGTGGTCGGAACTGACCGAGTGGCTCTGCAAGGTAGCGTAGGGAAGAGCGAATTGCTCCCCAAGACTGGGATTCACTACATTGGAGCTATGCCCTAAGTGCAAGCCCAAGACAGAAAAGACGATCCAATCCAATGCAATCCAATAATCCATTCCAAGATACAACGCGGCAAAGTGAGGCAACACAAGACAGTGCAAGATAACGCCGTTCCCGGAGGCCTTGCATAGTTTCGTATTCTCCCGAGCTGGCTACGTACTTGCGCTACCAATCCTTGGTGCCCTTATCTGCGTAGAATCTTAGGGGCCCGCCGCCCGTACTAGCTCGCATAGACCCAACGTCTTTGGCTCCTCCCCCACCTTCGTGTTCTATCACTTCACTACAGGAGCGACTGTCGGCGGAACCCCAGATCAGCATGGCTCACATAGACTTCGAATCTCTTTGCTCGTCTCGACCGCTCTGATTTCTGCTACATTATACCGTGCACGCCATCTTGGCTTGAGGCAGACGGATATATAATATGACCACTTCTTGTCCATCACACCCTATCCCCTTCATCTGATGCTTAAATCCTAAACCAGGCTGCGATCGAATTAATCACTCTTCCCGGCTTCATCTTCTCTCCTTCATCATGGGTCTGAAAGAGATCTTCACCGAGTCCACCGTGGCTCGGTATGCCCGTGACATCAGGGCTGCTCCTCGGCAGACCATTCTTAGTCGTCAGATGCTCCTCTCTGCGGCCTTGTATGCCATGGCTGGTGTTCCTATCAGTGAGTCTCTCCTACGCCAAGCTATGTTCCGAATGAATTTCCCTACTTAGAAATGTTGCACACGGCCTGACGATTTGCTGACTGCTCTATTCTCCGCTCCTTGTAGCCTGGGACCAAGGCTCTTCGTCTGTCTTGACCAACTTGCCCGGTTTCCAGGAGCACTTTAAGCTCAGCACTGGCAGGGACGCGAAGTTGATTCGTAACTTTGTCTCCCTGGTTTATATCGGATGTGGTGTTGGCGCCGGCCTCTCCTTCTTCATCAACGATCGTATCGGGCGTCTCTGGTCTTTCCGACTCTACATGTGCATCTGGATTGTGGGCCAACTCATCGCTACTTTCGCGCCTGACCTGAACGCTCTGTACGCCGCGCGCATTGTCTGCGGCCTGGGAATTGGTCCCCTAACGGTCGTGGGCACAATGTCCATCGTTGAGATCGCGCCTACTGCTATGCGGGGCTTGCTTGCATCGTGGTTCAGTGTAGTTATGCTCCTCTCTCTCTTCATTTCGACCTTTACGGTATATGGTGCCTACACAAACATGGAGCCTAGCAGATTGCAGTACCAGGTCGTCTGGTTCTCTCCCTGCGTCTTCGTTTTCCTGTGCATCATCTGCAGCTTCTTCCTTTGCGAGTCGCCTAGGTGGCTGTTCTTGGTCGACCGTCATGAAGAAGGCATTGCAACGATCGTGGCACTCCGTGGTCTGCCTGAGAACCATCCTGCCGTTGCCGCTGAAATTCAGGGAATCCGAGACTCTATCGCCGAAGAAAAGGGTAGCTTCAACGACAACACGCATAACACCGCTATGGGCTCTATTCTCAAGGAAGCCTTCACAGTTCCTGCCAATCTGCGTCGCATTCAGCAGTCGCTTATCTCGTATGCGCTTGCGCAGCTCTCCGGCGCCAACTCTGTCACCTCTTACCTCGTCCCTATTCTCACTCTCATGGGTGTTGGCGGCGATACCTCACGAAGCCTTTTCCTGAGCGGCATGTACAGCATGGCCAAGTTCTTTTTCTGTTTGATTGCATCCTTCTTCTTCATTGATGCTCTAGGACGCCGCAAATCTCTCTTTGTTGGCATTATTACTCAAATGATCTCCGATATCTATCTCGGCATTTACATCAAGTATAAGCAACAACAAGACGTCGCGAATGGTGCATCTCAGGCCGCTATTGCTGCCATTTTCATCCATGGTTTTGGATACGCAGTTGGTGGGCACTCTCCCCTATCTAATTCTAATCTTTGCCCCTCAAAAAGCTGACCACTTTCACCTCGATAGGCCTCCTAATCCTGCCATACGTCTTTGGTGGGGAGCTGTGGCCCAACCGTCTGAGGTCCTTCGGTAGTGCCTTGTCGCAATGCTTCCATTGGTTGTTCTACTACGGACTAAATGCCGCAATGCCCAGCATCCTTTCATCGATGAACAACTGGGGCGCTTTCATTTTCTTCGCTGGCTGGTGTTTCGTTGCTCTTCTTTATGTCTTCTTCATGGTCCCTGAGATTGCCGGACTCAGCATGGAGGAGATGGACGAGATCTTCAAGGGATCCTGGTTCAATGCCTGGAGGTCTAAGCCACAGAGGCAGGAAGAAATCCTTGCAGAAGCAGTGGGCTCCATCTCGTAAGCTCCTAAAGCCTTTCAAAGACCATGAAAACTATACTCACATTTAAGATTAGAAGCGAAGGCGAAGCAGTTGGAGTCGACAAGCTGAAGATCTTCTCTACCGACCGCGAGATTCGATGACCTCGCTTCTTCCAGAAACTATGCCCACAAAGGTCTCCTAAGAAAACTGCGCGTTGGACTTTTGCGGTGCCTTCACAGCTCCGATACCTATATTATGATTTTGTAAATTTTTTGAATACAATAAGCGCTTTAAATTATGCCTTTGCCATTCTGGTGCCTGTCAACGTGTACTAAGAGCATGACCCGGTATCACTCATTATTGAAACTACGCGTCATAATATTATGCAAACTCCATCCGACTCTTGCCACAACCGCAGACGTGGATGCATCAATCATAGGCTTGTAGTGTGTTGGAGCCATATGGACTTGATGGTTGTGTGAGGATGTCTTGGACGGGCACGCAGAGGGCACACGAATCCAAGTGATGTGCAAACTTTTGATAAATTGTTTTAACGGATATGCAAGAATCTATCCCAAGGCGTGACCGCGATCATATCATCATACTATACCCATGATGCTTATAATTCTCCCTTAACTAATCTCTCTCACGGGCGAGTTGGGCTTCCCTGTCGTGTAAAATGCTCGGATGTTCTCAAAACATTCCTTCTCTGCCTTGTGGAACGCACTATCTGTCAAGCCTCCAAGGTGTGGTTGAATGGTGACCTTGTCGCTCTTAAGGAAGTAGGGATCAGGGCTTGGCTCATTGATAAACACATCAAGACCAGCTCGTGCAACCTTTCCTGACTCAAGAGCATTGATGAAGGCCTTCTCATCAATCACCGCACCTCTAGCCGTGTTAACGAGGAAGACCCCGTCCTTCATGGCGGCAAACTCGGCGGCGCCGATCAAGCCTGTAGTCGCATCATTTAATGGGCAGTTGAGGGACACGACGTCGGATGAGCCCAGCAATTCGTGCAAGGTGGAGCAATATGTCGCACTGTATTTCTCTTCCTCATCGTCACTAAGTTGTCGGCGGTTGTAGTACTTGATCTTCATGTTGAAAGCAAGTGCCTTCTTTGCGAGGTACTGAAACGTGTGTTAGCTACGCTTTGTTCCCAACCCGCCGGAGCATGGCTCAGAAGCGTGTAATACGTTGCGTATATCTGCTCACCTTTCCAATTGACCCCATGCCGACAATTCCTAGAGTAAGGCCTGAGGGGTCGCGGGTTGGGACTAGGTTCGCACCCTTGCGCCAGATGCCATTACGCGCGCTCTTCTCAGCGTTGGTTGTGTTCCTCAGAGCTGCGAGAGTAAGGAAAATAGCCATGTCAGCTGTCGCTTCAGCCACAGCATTAACTGTATTGCAGAAGTAGATGCCCTGACTAGCCATCCAGTCAACGTCGAACTCGTTGAAGCCTGCACTGGCCGAAGTGATGATCCGACAGCCCGGAGCAAGAGACTTTAGGAGATCTTCGTCAAAGGGCTCGAAGGGCGGCGTGCCCATACGTATGATAAATGCAGCAATCGGTCCGTTGGCCTCGATATCTTTTGGCAGCAAAGCCTGGGTCTCGGCGCGGTTCGTTGCCGGCAAGACTGAATAGTTGAAGCTGTTGGAGAATTCCTTTAGGTATTCGTCGCCGATATACTTGGGCTCACCCAGGCATACAACGCGAGGTTTCCTGTCGACATTCATGATGTTGCTATTTAGATTGATTGATAGCAACTGAACTTTATACAACCGCGAATAGTGTTGTTTAGACACAACAGGTGAGGATGGATGCGATTTGAAGTGGAAAAAATTGAGATTGATTGAAAGAATTAGGATCGTACAGTCCAAGAAAAACAAAAGCGGTAGATTTACCAGCTTGTCCAGTTAGGAAAGCCGTCATTGTGTGAGACGCTTCGAATATTAGAGAACATCCGTTGTCGGCCTCAACTTGACCCATCTCAGGGTCCGCCTTGTCGGATTGCTGGCGCGCATGCACCCCTCGCATGCCTTTCGTATTCCTCCGTTCAGCGATCGAAGTAGGCTGTAGGCGGCCAATTAAAATACCTCTGTTGATTAGCGGATCCACCCGTCGCCTGAGTCATGGGTCCAATCGTAGTGGCGATGGAGCCGTTAGCACTCCATGGCCTCGGGGGTTTCCGAGGGAGCTTGGCCATCTGCCGAACAAGTTGCTTACAGACACATCAACGTAGTACCCCGTAACAAGACAATATAGACGAGCCTTGTGAGAAAGAAACAGCCAATCACAGAGCCAGTGAAGTGGCAAGCACTTAATAACGGCTGTTCGCATGGTAGTCATACCAGGAGTTGCTGAGATTGGATCAGGACGATAACGAGTCGGAGCGCAGGACGAACCATTGCAATTCACGCATGGAGAATCTCGCCTCGCTTCCAAAACACTTACTCTGACGATAAATTCCTCCGAAAGAGCAAGTAATTCTCTCTTTGAGAGATCCAGGCTGCTACAATATTACCACTATGGCCCAGCAAAGTCGCTCCCTCCCTCCACTTGGTTTCATATCCCTCGACATCATCCTACATCGACCACCAGGTGACCCATACAACCAGAATACATGGCCATTCCCACTTATACGGGAGAAAGCTCGCGATACATCAGAATCGGCTGTGGTTACGGCCACCGCCTACGATGATGCCTTTCTGGACCGCTTTGTCGAGGCAGGGAAGAGACTTGCTGCCCGCGGGGCCATCGGTATAATCACAAGCTGCGGCTTTCTTGCAATTGCACAGTCTGAGTGAGCACCACCCCTGCGACATCTCATTTTATTTCCCCGTTCATCTCTCAGAATTCCTGGGTGCCGCCACGATGGCTGACATGGGCCTCCTCCTGTTAGGTTGTCCGCACGCCTTCCGATTCCCATCATGACCTCTGCTCTCGTCCAAGCTCCATCATTATTGGCCACTATTGCTCCTCGTCGTAAGCTCGGTATTCTTACATTTGATAGCACTCGGCTTGGTGCAGGACATCTTCAGAAGCTTGGAATAGACCCATCTCGCTGTCACATCCACGGTGCTCCGACAAATGGTGCTCTTCAGCAACACGTACGACAAGGCGCTCCCTACTTGCATGAGGAGATATCACGGGAATTGGTCGCGGCGGCGAAGGAGATGTTGCAGGATGCGCCTGAGATCTCGTTGCTTTTGTTGGAATGTACAAACATGCCCCCGTTCTCTGAGACGATTCAGTCTGCTATAGCGTTACCAGTCTACGACATTCAGACCGCTGCTTTGTGGTTTTACTCGGGGTTGGTTAATATTAGACCGACACGTTGGGGCCCAATATTAGAAGATGATATTAGCACAAGGACATAGATCACAAACATCCTGAAGTGTATATGTTGATGTGTCGCTTCATGCTGCTGTGCGTTCTTTATTCGACTGCGTCACCCCGTCGATGCATCCCACGTGCAATTGCCTTGCAGTCCCCGTCTAGAATGAGCTTCATCTCCTAAATTAGACGATATATTATCTAACCCCATGCGGATCCACGCAACAAATGGTATCGAGAACTATTGTAAGAAGTCTCCCTGGCTCTCTTTGAGAACCATCTTATACTCCGGATCAAATTGCATATACATGACTTCCGGAGTCCCCGTACCTGCCTTTGTATAAGCAGCCTCCTCATCAGACACAAAAGTCTTTGTTAGTCCAGCTAGGGCACCCTCTGTCCCTGGAGCCACGCAGGACTCAATCAACAATTGCGTCTGGCATGCGCGCTCCAAGGCAATGAAGAACGCGGCCGCTTCTGCAACCGTGCCCCCACAAGTAAGGATGCCGTGATTCTGTAGAATGACATTCTTGTTGCGAGAGCCCATTGCTGCAGCAATTTTCTTGCCCTCCTCTGGAGCAAATACGACACCGCCGAACGACGTATAAACCGAAAGGTCGCTGTAGAACATGCAGCTGTCTTGGTTCAGCATGTCGATAGGGCGGCCAAACGTACTCCAAGCCCTTCCGTAAGGACTATGGAGATGGCATGCGGCGTTGATGTCTGGTCTTGCTTCGTGAATAGCACTATGAATGATGAAGCCCGCCTTATTCACGGCTGCATTCGCACCTCCAATGCGATTGCCCTGCGCGTCGACCTGAACCATGTCGGACACTTTGAGGAGTCCAAAATGGACCCCATAAGGATTTATCCAGAATGTATCTGGCTGAACCGGATCTTTAGAACATTGTCAACCTTATTGCACCTCTACTGGACTGTCGTGATCACAGAGTAACTCTTACCTCTTAAGCTGATGTGACCGCTGCCACCGTCAGCATAGCCTAGCTTTGCGAACACGCGGAATGCGCCGGCCATTTGCTCGAGTTGCCATTTTTGCCGTTCCTTAATAGTTTCCGGCCAGGGAATGTAGTGACAACGCTTCGGCTCACTTGATGGCTGGCTGACCTGGGTGGTGCTCAAGACAGTAGAGGGCGCTGCGGCCGTCGTGGTGGCAGTCGTAGTGACGGACATGATCAAGTAAAAGCAGACAATATGATAATTTAGAATGATATAGTTGCTAGCATGAGTCTTGATTTCCTTTCATACGTAACCAGCTAACTGGCATAAGTAGCGGAGATGGGCTCTGGCTCTGATGGGGTTTCCCGCCTAGCGTGGGCAGTCACACAGCTGCGATCGACCCTCGGAAGAATCCGAGTCATTCGCCACAGACTCCCCAACGCAGGCCACATGATCTTGTGGTGTTTGCATCCGCTAAGTGCCAGGTTCGATGCCCATAATTTTTTGGGGGGGAGGGGGAACTGCGAGAGTTGAGCTGGTAGCTGCGTCCTCCTGGTAGCGAAGCTGCACCTCATGCGACTGCCGCTCCTGGTGGCCACTGGTTCCTGCACTGGTTCCCTCGCACAAGCTTGTGGATTCCAACACTGGATACCCGGTGTATTCGTTTCATTACATGGTGAAGGAGGAATCCCCTACCAAGCCCTGGAATAGTTCTTGTGCTAGCCATTGAGAATCTCCTGGGGCCTCAATATCGTCCAGAGCCGTTATCCATTCCTGGGCAGGCATCATCCCATTCCCGACGCCGAAATTATCAAATATGTTCTCCGTACCAGTGATATTATCGAGTCCGTTCCTCGCGTGCTGGTTCATGGCTGGCGGAACCTCAGTAGCACCAACGCCATCTGCTCCAGAAAAGATAGTACCACCCGTGTGCTGGTTCGCCTGTTCTTCACATATCATGCTAACTGTGCGCTCTGATAATGTCTCAAAAATATCTCTGTAAGGAATGGCCGAAGGCCACCGATCCGCGATGATGATAAGGACTGTGGTGCAGGCCATAGAGGTGTTCATAACAGCATTTGGCTTTGTCCGCTGGCGCACGCACGGTGATCGCCATATACAGTAGAGATAGGTCAATCCTGCCATGAAAAGGATGTGAAGGCTGCCCCATGTGAACTGGACGGAAGCTCCTTCGGTCTGATAAAGGTGGCGATACATCAGACAAATGTTACGGGCATGATCTGTGCAAACCTCAAACGCGCGGTCTCTCGCATCCATGATGCCGACCTGGGATGGCGAAAAAGATCCTTGATACCATCCACGGCTGTCAACGATGTAATGCCTATATAGCAATAGGATAGAGTAGTCGTAGGCTAGACTAAACCAATTTCTGGATGCGAAGACGGACAGTGTTTTGCCGTGCGGGCAGTCTCCGGTGACGCTGGGTATCAAAGCTTTCCACTCTTCTAGATCCTGCCGCAGGCTCTCAATAGAAGCGCCGACTTGCTGCGTGCGTGCATCGATGTTTGGGTGGAAGAGATTTGCGTATATGACGTCGCTGAACTTGGACCATAGCTGACGAAGTCTGATTGCATGAAGTGCCAATGTCATACACGTGGGAGGGTCAGTATTCTTATTCCTAGGCTCACTTGTTAGCCCACCAGATGTGATGTGCTCATCGTCGATGTCCGCTGGAAGCTATTCATTTGAAAATCTTGGTCAGCAAAGTATCCTATTGAGTTTGACGAGTAGTATCGTCCTTACCTCAACATCAATTGAGCTATCGGCTATGCCCACTGGTCGGCCTAAGATAAATGATGCCACGCGGTCAATATCATACGCGACCCAGAAACACCGTTTTGACATCTCTCTCGTCAGTGCATCAGCTGTGGGGCGATACTTCTTCGTACTCCGATGGTACCCAAGCTCAACACAGTGGCGAATCGCCATTCCTGACAGTTTCCTGGGATAGTCAGACGTTTAGAGACACTCAAGTGCGTAAGCCAGAAGAACGCACCATAGACTATCTCCGATAGGTGACCGGATTGAATAGACTGCGCAGCACAGTATAGCCTGTATTGACTGCAAGCTGTCCATTTCCAAGATAGGGACGATGAATTCTAAAGCTGCAGTGTAGCATGCCTGTCATCTTGTTAGAGATCTTTCAGTATTCACGCTAGCCTAATGACTATACCTCTGCATTATCAACTTCATGCTTCCCTAAAGCCAAGGATCCAATAGCATAAACCTTCACAACCATAAGGTCAGCGGTCAATCCCACGATAGTAATTCCTATTGGATCCAAACATACCATGAGCAAGAAGAATACGCTGACATCTTCAACTTGTGAAAGATCGCCTCTTGCATGTGAGTCCCTCCAATGTTTTTCCATGCTCAGTATGGTTTGCCGATGGAGGAAAGGATACTGCAAGTGGATGTTCTCAAAATAAGCTTGAGATAGTAATGACATTTTGTGGGGTGAGGGAAAGACCTGTAAGAGCCTATCTCTTGACCTCTCGACCGTTTCAAGTTGCCTCACGTTACTGGGGCGGTCATTGGAGATACTTGGTTGTGAACTTGTCGCTCGTTTTTGTCGGGGCAGACCCATGACACTGCTGGCTATCCGGGAGAACGATAATGCTGAGGAGGGTCCAAAGTACTGAGGCTCGCGGCCAGCAGCGCCTAGACAAAGAAGTGCAACTTCATCACTCAGACCGTCGGCACCTTGTGCACCAGCGTCCGGCCTTGCATGGCCCGTCCGCGGGTTCTCGGATTCAATGGCCTGCATCCTATGATTCCCTACAGATGCCACAGGACTATTCTCAAGGTTTGGTACTGCAATATCGCTATCGAGGTGATCCAGGGCGACATCTGGCCTTGTTTCCTTGAGGACACTCTCCAAATACGATACGCGCTCTTCCAAAAACTTTGATTGAGTCTCTAGGGAGCGGATATAGTCTCTTGGGCGATGAAGGCCAGTTGCGGGATCTTCAACCAGGCATTCTTAAAAGTGACTATTAGTCTCATTCTTCATGCAGAAAATAAGTAAGGGAGAGCCTAGCAGTCATGGCTGGCCTGGGCTTGGGCTGGGGATCTTGGGACTGAGATGTAATGTACCTCGCTCAGCTTTCGCACAGTTCTTGCAAATCGGTATCTGCGCATCGCACTATTTCTAAGTGTCAGCACAACAGGTACACTGCTTCAGCAGGCGACGTAGACTGTGAAGTGTTACCTTCAGCTTACGCTGCTTGCAGTTGTTGCAGGCCAGCATGGTCCTTTCTCCAACGCGCATGCGCTTTGCCGTCGGCACATCGCGCTCGTTGTTGCTCATGCTGCTGGCCATATCCGTCGATTCATCTAGTTAAAGGTGCCTTTCGGCTGGCTTTAGACACGCATTAAGGCTGCTTTGGCAATTGAAATCATTGTTGGAAGGAAGATGGCAAGGTCGCCCGATAGCTTGTCCCATTAATCAGACGCTTAACAAAATATAGTCAGCCAATCAGATGCTGTGTCTGGTTCCCTAATTCCAATCAGTCAAGCTCGCCCAGCACTGACCTAAATGAGATAACCGAGAGCCGAATTGATATCACATAACTATATAATAATCCTCTAGGCTTTTACTGTTAACACTGCAGCACTAATTTCTTCCAAAGAGGACAGTAAACATAAGGTTTCTTAAGGGTTTGTATGCTGTATTGGATCAGTTATGTCTATTAACATTTTTAGTCTTGTGCGTGATACTTACACAAAAGTCTCAAACGGCATACCTCTTAGCTGCATCCTCCCATCAATGAGTACCCATGGCTTCGGTTGAAAGCTCACTTCAGCCCAAGAGCGGATCAACTGACGCCAATAGCAAGTTTGTGCAGCGGGCGTCAGATATCGTTCGCGGAAGGTCTTTGCACTATTATTTGCGATCATTTTCGCTCGCTGGGAGTCTTGGAGTAGTTCCTGTATTTTAGATTCGAGATCAGAGAAGTCGCTCTCGACTTCAACAAAATTCTGGTCCGGCCCAGATCGCACAAGCACTCTTTGGTGTGGCTCGATCCATTCGCTCTTGTGCATTATGGTTACTGATCTGCAGTTAAGGAGGTACTTGCCACGGCCGGAGTAGCTTCGCCCTACAAAGTCTCGATTAGCGGTTACATATGTAGTCAGAAAGACCAAGGGCGCAAACCTTCAGTATGTATAAGGAACTGATAACCGCAATGATCCACTATGGACAATGCCAAATCCGCGGAATCTGCAGCAATATCGGTACGATTCTTCCACCTTACTTCATGGACATCTGCCCAGCTTTTCCCCTGCGACACTCTCATCAACGAGCTCCGCACTTTATTTGTCTTAACAGCGCCACGCCACAACGCCTTAGGGACCTTTTCTTCCCACACTACCTCGTTCGCTTCGATCTCTGCGCGGATTTGCTCGTAGTTTCCTACCAAGTCCACTGGCCACGACCAGTATCCGAAGTCCGGCATGAGCCACATCTCCTCATCTATAGCCAGCCGCGAAAGTGACCAGAAGGTATGGTGCTGGTGTTTGATATCCGGAACATCACTAACCACGAAAGTGAATTCGATATCCGGGAGTGATTCTGGGCTCGTCGCGATAGCGCGGTCGATTTGATGGAGTGTACTAAGTGCACGACTAACCATAAAATCATCATTGACCTTCGACTCGAGGACGTACAGCTAAGCACTATGTCAGCAATGCTGCTTTATTTTATCTAGGGGACATCCGGAAGAGCCACCTTATGATTGTAAATCATGACCCTCATTGCACCTTCAGGTTTCCAATCCAGATCGATATCGGATTCTTTCACATGTCCAATCTTGTTCCTATATGCGACGGCGCGCTCGATGTAATGGAACAAGCTCTTGAACTCGGAAGAACATTGCATCGCTGTGAGCCCATAACGACCAAAGTCCTTCGCCCGCTCCTGTGTGTGAGCTTTTGGATCCGCGAGATTGCTAGAAAATACCAGATCGCTTGATGACGAGTATGCTCCTAATTTTATCTGTCTGAGTGAAGGCGGAGCCTGGGCGTATAAACCGATGCTCATAAAGACATTTGTCGCAAGAACCAGCATGCAGGTAACGCAAAAGGCCAGAAGCCAGCGACGTTTCCTTATATCCATACTCACGGGCCTTGTATTCTGACTCGAAGATGATTTTTGAAAAGAAAAGAGAAATCCTCACGTCCTAAGAGTCAGGCTCTCGAATGAATATTTTAAGAGGGGACAAGAACGCCGCAGAGACGATGTTCCTATCTCAGTATCCTTCTCATGTACACACAGAAGGCCATAGCGCAACAAGTAATTCTATACACTGTGCTGCAAGCGGTCTGAGCTTGGATTCGTATGCACAGAAGGTTGGTAGTGCAGTTGAAATGACCTACGCACGCCGCACTGAAACTCATAATTCTACCTAGCTCGCTCTGTATCGAGAATGCATCGTTCTTATTCCGATTTTTGTCGTGGCATTTCCCATCGAGGGTGCAATTCACCCCACATCTTGCATCTCATTAGTTTACCTCTAACACTGGTATATTACGCAGAATACATTACTTATGCAGAGTAAATGTGGACGCAATGGCGAATAGAAGTTTCGTCACCTTGTAGGTGAAGGTGAATTCAACAGCACTCCAGTTAACCACACAATCAACTATGCACATGGTATGGTCTGTAACGGTAGTAAATATGGAGCCGGTTGGATAAGAGGGCAGACCGTCACAGGTTACGTGCACACTCTGTCGATAGTGCCCCGTCTTTCCACTCCGCTTTGTGTCCCATGTGCTTGTCGGGAGAGCCGTTGTCGAAAAGCTCCGATCGGTGGACCTTGCGATCTCCAAATGGAAGAAGAGGTCTCGTGGCTGCAACTCATTGCTTCAGTACCGAAATGTTGAAAGATGCAGCTTCCCAGCTCAGGAGAGCCACGATGAATAGGGCAGCAGGCTTCATCTTGGAACTGAAAGAGAACGGAGAAAAGATTAGGTAGAATGAGGTGACTGTACTTAACCAACGATGTTAAGGCTTGGTTTGTTTTTCATTATCAACTTAAAGGAGGAACCCTTAAATGTTCTTCTCACACATACAAAGGAGAATTTACTAACAGCATAGTACAGTGTGACACACCTAATAATTTGCAGAGTTAGACAAGTCACCCCTTATAAGGTACGGGGGCACGTAGTACTCCTGGCAGGAAGGAATCTACCTTACGTGTCCTTCTCACAGACGAAAAGGAGAATCTACTAACGGCATAGTACAGTGTGACACCTCTAAAAACCTCGAAGTTGCACCTGCGTAGTTAGAAAAGTAACCTCTCACAACGCACAGCAGCGGGTAGCACTTCCAGCGGCAGTAGTTCTGCACGCATGGGGTTGCAGAATGTAGGTTCACTCATAGCACAGCATTCGTTCTCATTTCACCTGTATCGAGGCATATTCCTCCATGATCCCAATGCAGCCAAGATACCCGCCAACAAACGTACATATAAAGAGAGTCGACTTGCCCGTCTTCCCTTCTCTGCCTCCACCTTCGACAACACTCATTTCTCTGCAACTCAATTACATAAATCTCGTCTTAATCTTCTCTACGCTCCCTCACCCTCTACCACCATCACCGTTTTGAGCCATCATGCTCTTTCTCAAACCTCTTCTTGTCACAGCCGCAGTTCTAGTCACCCAGTCAGCTGCTGATGGATGCCATATCCAAAGTAAGTCAACGAGGCCGAGCAAAGACGCAATTGATCCTTCCATCGCTGACTTACAGCAAAGATGACCATATTGGCAAAACGTGCATCTTCAAGGACCGCATCCACTGGGAGTACCTTGTGAACAACTACTGCGGGATGTACGATCCCGGACGTGTTGTTCCAGTCGGTAGCTCTATCGGGTCAAAGATGTTAGTGCCAGACGGCTTTGGTGATTATCAATACTTCTGGGGTAAGTAATACGTGGGTGTGAAGAGAGAGCTGACCAGATACTGAAGGGTCACTAACACACGTTGTTTGCAGGCAATCACCGCATTGACAAGGGCGATGGAGGCCCCAATCACTTGATTACCCTTAAGGAATGTCATGACGACATGATGAAGATCTGGGATAAGTGTCCGGAGAGGAAGGGTGGATGGGTAGACACGACGTTCGGCACAGTAAGCATATTCCCTTCTTGTCGTATCCTGTGATTGGCATATTGTCGCGTATAGACGCCTCTGTAGTAGGGAGCATCACAGGCACGACCCGCAATCGGTGGATAGGTAGGAAAAGTAGGTATTTGACTCTGTCGATAGGCCTCGGTAGGTAGGTGGATGATGCCTCCAACTCTCTCGGCAGCCCTGATCGATCTATCTTTGCCCTGCCTAGTGCCCTTCCTCATACACGTGATCCCCGAATAGCCTCATCTATCCTGCTACACCACAATATTAACCTAGTGTAGACTTTTGCTGAATGCATCCGCAAGTAAACCTAGACAGACTTCTTTAGATATTCTATATATAAAGGAATTAGTACTCTTCCTCTCCTTAGAAACGACAAAATAGCAAAAAGGTAAACTTGACATACGTCTTTGAGCCCTACCTACACATAGCCTCTCTCTCTACCATTCTACTTAAACTATGCCCCCTTTTCCCTATCCTTCCAAGTTGGACCTGCATTACTACCCTAGAGTCCTCCCGTCATATCATTCTTGAAATCTCCAACCAAGTCGGAGCTTATCCGAAAGTAATTATACCCCGCCACATCCCCCGCCTCCAACACCTTCTCCACCCCAATCATACCCCTAAGAAATTGTGTCCTCACCTTCCCCTTCCTTCAAATCTCCTCCGCCCTCTCCAACAACTCCCCCTCGTTCGCACCCCTAAGAAACTTCCTCGCTTCTTCATACCGCTCCTCGAAGTCATTGTTGAAGCCATCCGCTTGTGTTTGATCACGGCTACCACTCATAATCCTCATAAACTCCTCGTCCAGCCCGCGCTGACGCAGCAGCACACGCAGCTGATCAAACGGCCGCGTTACCTCGGCATGTTCGGCCGACTCGTAAACTTCCCAGTGGTCGGCGCGCAGGGGCAACGGCCAGGTAGCGATCCATTCGGCTTTTTCCTGCTCGTTCAACGGGCAGATGTAGCAGTAGTTTGGGGAGAAGGGGTCGCGGCAGAAGGATTCGCTAGAGGTGAGTTGCTGCTCATGTGTTGTTGTTGTTGTTGATAATGATGCTGTTGTCGTCGTCGTTGGTGTGGCATCGGTAGACTGAACAGGGGATTCACTTGGGAGTGAGGCATTTGGTTGATGTTGTTGATGATTATTGGATTCCATAGTGTTTAGTGCCACTTTTCTTGTAGACAGGATGTGTAAAGGTGAAGAAAGCTGTAATTTTACGTTATTGCAGTAGCTAACAGAGAATAGTAGCAAGTCATGCTAAACTAGAGATACAGTAGGAGAAGATTAGAAGGTTGTTGAACAGTATAGAATAATATATTACTGTACTGCAAGACATGCAGGATACATGTTGTTATAGTCTGTATAATATATATCTATATATATAACTGTACCTAGACCCCCTTTACCTATATAGCTAGATAGCTACCTGCCTTAGTATAAAAGGGTTCTAGTCTACCTACCTGGGGACAACGTCTGAACCCGGCACCCGTGGACGTTTCGAATATTGAAAGGGTATTTGTACTATATCACAACCCATCCTCATATTATATACAGACAGAACTAGATGTCTCTTCTTTTTTCCCATCACACTCCAATCGGCGCATACCATCGAAACCGATCTTGGGGATCGTACGCCCTCTTGTGCTTCTTCAAGTCGTGCACCCTCCAAGAATTATAGCCATAGATGTTCTCCAACGACTCCTCTCCCACCGCGTAGTTCACGTACGTGTGCATCTTTTCCGCCTTGGACGCATTGTGTAGCGTCATGCGCAGGTTGCGGCCAAAGTCCTCTGCGATAGCGTCAAGCGAAGCGTCAGGTGCGTACGTCACGACGGGGGATCTGGGAGAAGAAGAAAGAAAAAAACACGTCAGTCCATCGTTGTCTTTGCATGGCGAAAGAGTGAATTGCAGAGGGGCAAACTCACGAGAGGACGAAATAATCCCTGTGCGGTATCGCTGTCGAGTCCAGCCTGACGCTCTTGACGGCCTGGGTCGAGAGACCCTCGAACAACATCAGCGATCCGGCTAGACCGGGGTGATCCGAAATGGTTTTATTGAAATAGTCAAAGGTCGCTTTGCCCGCGCCCGGATCGAATCTATCCAGGTAGATGGGATAGCGAATACGATTCAGATTCTCGTGTTGACAAATTGCGTCATTGATGCCATTTCCCGTTATCCCAGAGAGCTGCGGGTACGTCGCGGTGCCATTCTGAATGTCGATTGGAGAGAATTGACGGAACGGAGCGACCCATTTGTCGGCAGCGGAAGCCGGGCCGTTGTACAGGATGCTGAAGAATACAAGCGCGTTGACGGGATCGATTTGCGGCAGTCGCCCAAAGACGGCGTAGTGCTCAAACTGCACTGGCGTGTCCCGCTTGATCTTGTTCAGCTGTCCGAATACTGCTTCTATGGAATCGCCTTGGTAGATGAAGTTCTCGTAGTACCATATGTCGTCCTTGGGTACATCGTAGATCTTTACCGTCGCCTCGGTCACTATGCCGAAGTTGTGTCCCGCGCCTCGGAGTGCCCAGAACAGTTTGGGGTTGGAAGTGTCGGAGGCGGTTACAATGGTGCCATTTGCAAGCACCACTCGTGCAGAGATGAGTTGGTCGGCTGCAAGTCCGTGGTATCCTTGGAGGAAGCCGTGGCCGCCGCCGAGGAGGGGACCCAAGAAGCCGACGCATTCGCAAGTGCCGCTCACTAGAAGCTCTTAGTGGGACTGTGTGACTGAGATGGAGAGAAGCATCGTAGCCGTACCAGTCTGTTTGTTTGCTTTCCAAAGCTCGGTGGTTATATCGAGGTTGCTGGCACCACCACCAATCGTCGCCGTGTTGTTGTCGTGAACAGTAATCTTCTTCAGGGATCGGACCGTGATTTGGAGTCCCTTCTTAAGACCCCCCAAAGATTTTATCTCGCCATGTCCGGCGTTGACCACGAGGAAAGGGATTGAGTATCTGTTTGCGTATTTGACCTTTCTCGCCGTTAGTTTGAAGCCATGCCTCTTGCATGACAGACGGATGAGCTTACAGTCTCGACAATGTCGTTCTCATTTGCGACCTGGACGACATAATCAAAGCTTGGACTGGCAAATACCTGCCATCTCTTGGTTGCTTCGGTCAAGTTTCCGCGCTCGGAGTCGACAATGATGGCTTCGGGAGACAGCACTGGGCCCAATTCACTTCGAATTGATGGCACGCCGTCATCCCGGCGTATCACGGTAGCTGAAGATTGTGAAAAGTAGGAAGCAATAACAAGAGAGAGTGAGACGAGGGAGTGTGAGATGGTCATGATTAGTGATGGTGGTGGGAGGTTCCCGGGAATGCGGCGATTGTCGCTGGACAATGGTACCAACACGCAAAGCAAACGAGTGAAACGCGATGGTGATAAAATGTCAACTACGGTCTAAGGTGCTGTGCAGTGAACGCCCTTGGGTAGGTGGCGTGGTCAAGATCCGGGAATCATCCCATCAATCGTCCATAATATAATCCGATAACCGAAAACAACGGTTTGAACAGGGGGTCTGAGGGGAGACTGCTCCATTGGCGTCTTTGTATGAGGCATCAATTGATCTCACTGGCCGACTGTTTCGGCATTCGAACTATATTTGTGCTTGATAATGCTGCCAAAGGCCTCTTACGTACTATGTATAACGAAGTATTGGATGGCGAGGCGTAACGGTATTTGGTCCTTGCTGGTCCTTGCTAGACCGTTGCGCTTGCTAGACTATGGCACGGACGTAGACGTAGATAGCATGACCATGGAGATCTCATTTGTGTCTGCGCGTTGGCCATGATACGAGTACCTACTACAATAGGTAATAGGTAGATGATAGGTGAGAGCAACAGGTATACCCCGGCAAACCATACCTCTACATAGTATGGTTTAGCCGATTACATGGGTTGTTGTTGTGTATTGAATTGTATTGTATTGTAGTGTGGCAACCCTGGTCCCTGCAATTACATCGCCCGTTGCCAATGCGCCTCGCCAAGAATGGCAATCACCCGCCTTGCCAATCTATTTCTTGTGCAGTAGGCAATGATCTTTTGGGGTGGCGTAATCTATTTCCCTGTCGGAGGCGTCATTGCCGATTAAGAATGGTAGTACAAACAACGTTGTCTCCGCTGCGGTGGATCCCGTCCTTGTACAATATTGTATGCAGGATTCCCAATCCCAAGGCTGCCTGGTGTGTGTCTCCAAGGTTCCAAGGTATATTGTACGTGCCGCATGTACTCCGTACGCCGCAGGCTCCTGTGGAAGAGCTTCCGAGGTTGACCGTCCCGACATGTAGGGAGGGAGGCACAGTGTCTCTTTGATATGTAATGAGGCACGGTGCCTGCTTCAGACCAGCACGTGGATTCAAATAGTCACTGTTGGGCGTTCTTCATCACTGTTGAATCCCATACCCCTAAGTTAACCCCACACGATCAAGCGATTTCTGTCTCTCAAGACCGCCCATCATGGCTGAAGCAAACATTGTTACCTTGATCACCGGTCCCAATCGAGGCAAGTCTCTGTCACCCACCTTAGCAGCTCTTTGCTCTCACTAGAACACACGATTAACAGCGGGGGATTTAGGCATTGGCCGCGGAATCTTGGCCACGATTCTTACCCGTCCAAACAATACCGTCATCGCCGCTGTGCGCGATCCGCAAGCCGCCGCGTCGCAAAGTCTCAATGAACTTCCCAAGGCAGACGGTTCATCGCTCCACGTCGTCAAGATCGACCAAGGCGTGCCCACCGACGCTGCGGCTGCCGTCAAGGACCTTGAAGCTGCTGGCATCTCGCACGTTGACACGATTGTCGCCAACGCCGCTACAGCCGACGTAGCTGAATATGTGATAAGCACCTCGACGGATGATTTACGGCGTCATCTCGATGTCAACGTCATCGGCATCCTAGCCCTGTTCCAAGCCTTCGAGCCTCTCCTGCGAAAGGCGCAGGGCAAAAACCCAAAGTTCATCGCCCTCAGCTCCAACCTGGGAAGCATTGGCCTCGCTCCATACATTCCTGGCCCATGGTTCTGCTACGGCGTCACCAAGGCCGCCTTGAACTACTTGATCCGTCGTATACATGTCGAGAACGACTGGTTGACTGCTACCGCCCTGCAGCCTGGATGGGTGCAGACAGACATGGGCAACTTTGCTGCCAAATCCGTGGGCCTGGAGAGCGCGCCCATGAAATTGGAGGACAGCGTGGCCGGCTGCCTCAAAGTCATCAATGCTGCTTCGAGGGAAAAGTATGCGGGTGAATTTGTCTCCAGTGAGCTTGAGACGGTGCAATGGTAGGGTAAGCGGGAAAGGGCAGCAACTTAGCATGCTCCCAGGTCTAGGTCGCGTTGCACAGGGGCATCTAAATGTTCAGGTAGCACATAGTACCATTAAAGAAATATTTTTGTTAATGAATCAATATTTTCGAGCAAATCCACTCACCGTTTGATCTGATTTTATTCACTTCCAAGTGTTGTGCAATTTATTACTGAATTTTAATGAGACTGTTACGTGTCTGGGGAGAGTGAAGGTATCGTATCGGCTCCCCCCGAAGGTCAGCAACAGGTATGACAGCTAAAAGATGATATCACAAACAAAATGCCAGGGCCAGAAGGGTATGCAATAGCTCGAGTCGAGTTCATGTCGTGTGTATTTTCAACACTACGTATTCTACTTGGTCAATTTTCTGAACTCCACAGCCTTGGTCGGATCTGGAACCAAGGCATCCGCGTACACCAAGTTCTTCGGCCGCTCCGTTCCCTCTGGCAGCCTCAACTCATACTTCTCCAGAATGTTCACCAACATGATTTTGCTCTCGAGCCCCGCGAAAAAGCGCCCAGGACATGAATACCTCCCATGCCCGAACACGAGACTGTACACCCCAGTCGACGTAAAGTGGCTCGTCTTCGCTACGGCCAGTTGTGAATCAGGCAGCTCTTGCTGGCGCATGCGGTGGTACCGGAATCCGTCGAACACAAGAGGATTGGGGAATTGTGAGTCGCTGAGCATGAGCGGGCCTGCTGCCACCGCGATCCAGCATGAGGCGGGCAAGACCTTGCCGTCGTTGAGAGTGTGATTGCAGAGGACTTTGCGATTGAATGCCACTGGGAGGTTTTTTTTTGGGTCAGTCTTCGGATACGGCATGTGACAAGCAGTCAACTCACAGGAAGATGGGGGATTCAAACGCATCGACTCCTTCATGAAGCTGTCCAGCTTGGACAGTTTCGCAATCGTCGTCTTAGACAACACGCCCCCGTCCTCTACTAACGCCTCGCGATATTCCGCTATCAACTCTGGCGCATATTCGTCCCAGCGCGCCGCAAGATCGAATAGGACATTCGACATGTGGTTGGTGGTGGTATGTACGGCGGCAAAACTAATCCCCATCTGCCGCTCCACGATACTCAGCTCATCCGGGTTGGGACCGGATGCTTCGATGAGCCAATCAAGCATGTTCCTCTCCCCTGGATCACTGGTGGGCTCCTGGAGGCGTTTGCGGATCCCGGGGAGTAGAATTTTGCGCAGGTTGCGGTGGTGGAGTTTGATGCGCCATAGTTGGGGGAGGAAGGGTGCGACGAGGGGGCGGACTATGGACGGGAGGATTTTCAGGAGACTGGATGCGACGAATACACAGGTCGCAAAGTCGCTGTATGTATGGCGCAGAAGGGAGCTTTTGGCGAGTTCTTTGCCAACAAGGATGCGGCTGGTCATGTGGCCAACGATTTCGAGGAAGACGTCGTGGACAAGAACTGGAGTCCAATCTGTTACATGGTCAGTTAGCCCGCGTTCTTGTTACAATTGAAAACGAGGCGAAGATCGTAGTACCTTCGCAGTCCGGGAGTTCGACCTCATACGCCATTTTGCACGTTTCGTCGAGCGGTTGGACTAGCGTCCCCAGCTTTTGCGTCAAATGGTTGCGAATCACATTCCAAGTAATGTCGCCCATTATCTTGTGCGCCTGCATGGTTGTGTACTTGCCCAGCAGATACTCCTCTACAGAAACTGACGAACTCATTACCGAAGTCGGCAAGCTCTTCAGTTCCTCCATGTAGTGCGGTGGTAGAATATAGAACCTGTAGTCCGCCAGCGGCGCCCTCAAGATCCGACCGGTATTCTTCTTGAATGCTGCAAACATCAAATAATGCCCTTCGACCATGTATCGCAACTTCGCGCGCATTTCCGCAAGCCATGGCCACGAGGATTTCTCCTCTGGGGCGCCAACGAGCACTGCGTCATACTGCGCTTTCTTTCCTCCCTCTTTGACGCTATATATTCCCGGTGGATTTCTCGCACTGAAGATGGCAAAGGTCAGTATTGTGGAGATAACAAGTGTGCCCGTTAGGGAGATCAAATGTTCTGAAATGGCGACTTTGGTCCAATTCTCGATGATATCCATGATGATAGATGGCTATTTCTATAACGACGTGACTACGATGTCGGGACTGTTTGGGACGTTGGGAACGAACTGTGGAAGGCCTTTGCTGTGCAATCGCATGAGATGAATGCGGTTATGCTGGACGGCAAGCTGAGCCTTCAGATCTAGGCACAGTGCCTGGAGGATGACCAAACCTAAGGCCAGAAGAGGAAGCCTGAATGATAAACCTACCTATACTACTTCTACCTAGTACTTTGTACTAACAAATTACTGGTTGTTGCAATTGAGCAATGGCCTAAACGGGTCACGGACTTACTACAGGCACCCGGGCGGCATTGCGCAATCCCGCTTACCCTCCAACAGCCCCTAAAGATTGAGTGTAGCCTTATTGGTTATAGATCTATTGTTTTAGAACCCTAGTTGTTGTGGGTCTGTTGCTGTAGCTGTTAGGTTTTAAACGTTTTATACTTATCTACACTTTGCTACAACAGCCAGCGAGGCATGCTTTACAACTTACCATTACATTTACAGTCATATCTACGTTCTTATTCACACTTCGCTATTATAGCCGCACATGTCGGCTTCTAGACTTTTCAACGGGCTGCTGGTCTGTCCGGGCGTAGGTCAACATGTAGGACGGCCTACGCATACGTTTAGTAGGGCTGGGATTCTAATCCTCCTGAGGTCAGTACATACAAGTAGTATCGTAATGTATCGGCTTCGTACCTAGATAGCGTGGCTAGGAGCATGCCTAGTCCATACCTAGGTAGCTGCAGGTCGACGCGCTGCGAGGCGACCTTGGCGACAACGCCTCCAACTTACAGAGGGTTGGCACGTCGGGCTGGCCACCTGCTAACTTCATGTATCTTCTATACCTAAAGTGTCTACTTAAAAATGTACTGTAGCTAGTAAACAATCTTAACTGCTTGCAATAAACCTTGCTAAGACACTGTTGAAGGCATAAATACTAGCATGGGGCCAGCCCGACGTGCCAACCCTCTCTGTACATATGTAGTGTTATCTTCGCGTACGCTCGCCTTCGGAGTCCGTAAAGGCCCAGCATGTTGGGCTACAACACCTCATTAGGCGCCCGCCGCTCACCAGGCTCAGATGTATTGCCCAGCAACCTTTCCTTTGGTTAAGCCTAATTCGAGGACAAATGGACTACAACAGATGTTGGCCCAAGCATGCAACAATTCCGCGGGGGTGGCGTCGTAAAAAGGGACAGTCGACAGGGTCGCTTGCCGTCTCACACGAAACATGCCCGCATGACGATCAGGACATATCCCGCTGCCCTTTCTTTCCCAGTTATTATCCCTTTCAGTCGCATGTGCCTTCGCTCTGGGCTATTCACGCAATCACTCTCGTCGACACTCGCACCATGACGGCCATACCACTGTCAGTCAACCCCAAGGGGAGGGCTATCATCATCGTTCTCGGTGTATTCCTGGCACTGGACTTTCTCTTCGTCTTGGCCAGATACTGGGCCCGTCACATCAAGGGAAGGTCGCTCGAGTTCAATGACTGGGCTATGTTTTCGGCTTTGGTGAGCAGCTCGCCCACTCCAAACGCAATGAATCGTCAACTGACGGCACGAATGGGCAGATCTCTGTCACCGCCCTTTACTTTACTGAAGTCGCGGCTGTGCGCAATGGTGGCGTCGGTCTGCACGTCATGGAAATCGTCATGCAGTGGGGAGGCATGGAAACTGTCATGACGGCTGGAAAGCTCGTGCTTACTGCTGACATCTTGTGGTACGATCATTCTTCCGAGTTACACCATTCTCGGTGATTTGTTCAGCTACTGACGCTTTTCGATAGGAATGTGGCTACGCTGACCATCAAGATGTCCATCCTCCACCTTTATATTTCCATTTTCGGCCTTACCAGCCCCAAGTTCTGTCGCCTCGTATGGGGGGTGATGGGTTTCTGCGTCATCAGCACCATCGTCTTCGTCGTGCAAATCCTCGTCCTCTGCCGCCCACTCGCCTTCTTCTGGGATAAAACCATCGCGGGGAAATGTGGCTCTCTACCACTCACATACCTCATTCCAGGCATCATCATCACTGTTGAAGACATTGTCACGTTTGCGCTCCCTATGCAGCTTCTCTGGAACCTTCGGATGAAGACAGGCAAGAAGCTCGGCGCAATCTTCATCTTTGGAATTGGTTTCGGTATCTGCTTGATGTCTGGTGTGCGCCTAAAGTATGTCATTGAGCTCGACACTCAGGATTTTACTGCATCCATCTGGCAGTTTGCAATTCTGGGCACGTTGGAGCCTATGCTCGGTATAATCAGTGCCTGTATGCCAGTCATTCCATCCATCATCGCGCACTACTCCGACCATCGCGTCATGGCCTGGAGCCAGAAAGGTGTCAGCAGCGGCGGAACCAAGACCTTCAAATCTGGGAAAAACGCGTCGGGCCACTCGTCGTCGTTGTCGCATGAAGAGCACGCTGAATTCGAACGTCTCAGCGACCATGAGTATCCTCTCATTGACCAGGCTAAGCCAACCATGGGAACGCAGACGAGGGCAGTTGGGGATTGGAGTACTGCGGGATCCGACCGCGTTGATATTGAGCAAGGTGCTATCAAGGTAACCCGCCAATATACAGTGAATTCGTGATAGAATGTGTTTAGCATCTTATAAAAAAGACATATACAAAAAGTGTACAAAGTACAGTTCATAGTATTTAATATTTAGTGATTAAATTCTACTAACTAGTATATTTACAGTATATAAAATCAGAATAATATACCCTATAAGTAAGTTACTACTATAGGTAAGTTACTACTTTTTACTAAGACTTTACTGTATAGAGCCGCATGAAACACCGCGGCCGTTTCTTAGCGAACGTTACCTTCGGGATCCGAAGGGCGCCTTGGAACGGCAACTAGTGTTAGCCCCCTTTAGCAAACCTCACTGGGGTTCTCTGAACTGCGTCTACTCCAGCTATGGTATGTACATACGTACATTCTGTAGTAATGCTTTCTGACTAGTTCAGGACAGGGATATAAATAATTTTCCATAGCGGGTACGGTTCGAGGCACTTTGCTGCCGCCCTGGAGAACGCCTCGATGATCCAAATGTACACTAGCTCGAGGTTGTTTTGGCGACGGTCTGAACCTCACCTGGGCATTCAAAAACTCCCATGAGTAGATGAAATGGTGCACTAGCTTGTGAATTTTCCAAATACTGCTCATGTTGTCGACAATCCCCGCCAGAAGATTGCTGTTCACAGCTCCACGAAGTCTCTACTCCCCCCGCCTCATCAGTCGCAAAATGTCCACCACAGAAACGCATCCATCGCTATCATCGCTTGCCGAGAGCGTCTCTTCTCTCACCAAGCAAATCGAGTCCCACTTCCGAGAAAACAACCACGAAACCCCCAATTTTACCACATCTTCCTCAGAAATTCCATTGACGAAAGAATATGAGCGCCTCCGCGTTGATCTCAACACTGCTGCCCTGGATCTCCTCCGCCTGATCAATGGCCCCAAAGTCGAGTTCCGCAGCTTCTTCACTAAACACTACGAAATGGCCGCATGGCAAGTCGCCCTTGAATTTGATTACTTCGGTCTCGTGCCACTAGAAGGCAGCATCTCGCTACAAGAACTCGCGGCAAAAGCCGTCATGGACGAAGACCGAACAATGCATGTGATGCGATTCCTGACGACACAAAAGATCTTTCGTGAACTGGAGGGCGAGAATGAAGACGACATCATCTTCGAGCACACTGCGGCCAGCGCGACCATCGCACGAGAGCCGTTGCTCAAGGATGTGTTCCTCATGCAGGCGGATGAGATGTTCCGGGCGGCATCGTCAACTGCGGATTCAATCAAGCAGTCGCCATTTTCCATTACCGCTGAGGGATGTCCGTTTGCCGTCAGGCATGGCGACAGGGCGTATGCTTGGTATGAGAAACATCCGCCAGAAGCGGCACGATTTGCCAGGGCAATGGCTGGCGTTACACTGCGTAGATATTTCCTCATTCCAAATCGCTGGTTTATTGTATTCTAACTGGGAGAATAGTCGACCGTCAGACTTCGGAGTTGCGCGATGAATTCAATTGGCAGGATCTGCCCGCAGGAACTGTCGTTGATGTGGGAGGTGGCAGTGGTCATGTCTCACTTTCTCTTGCAAAGGTATGTCGGTCGTCCGGAGGATCCAATATGCAATACAGCAAATATTTGGCTGACGCATGCAAAGGAATTCAAACACTTGGATTTCATCATCCAAGATTGGTCTCCTATCATGCTTGCTCAGGGAAAATCCCAGTGGACAGGAGAACTTGAGTCTCGGGTAAAGTTCGTGGAGCATGATTACTTTCAGCCCAATCCGGTGCATAACGCAACGGCCTTCTTCACACGTCAGATCACCCACAATCTGACCGACGAAGATGTAGTCAGGTTCTTCAGGGCGTTTGTTCCAGCACTCGAGGCGAACAAACCAGGTACTCCGCTCCTGATCAACGACACGGTAATCCCAGAGCCAGGTGAGAAGACAGCATATGAAGAATTCGGCCTAAGACAGGTCGATCTCGCAATGTGGATTGTCTTCAACTCTAAGCAGCGCACTGAGCGGGAGTTCAGGAAGCTCCTCTTCAGGGCTGACGAGAGACTCAAGGTACGTAAATGTCGAAATGCATCCATACCCATTTCTCCCCAAATGCCGGCTGCCGAAAGCAATTTCTCTCCGAGTCTGCTAACTTGTTCCAGCTCGTTAAGGTGCACAGCAAAGGTAGCATGGGTCTTCTTGAGGTGCAGTTGGACATGAACGCCCCGCGCGATAGGGGCGTTGCTGGGGTCTAGATCTGGTAAATGTAAATCCGATGCGTTAGTCCTGGTTCACGGGTCCCGTAATAAATTACTGGATAATACCAATCCTTGCATTCCAGTTTACTGCACGTCTTACTGAGTGGCCTGGGCGGGTGTGCCGTGCGCCATGCAGGACGCCATGCAGGAAGATACATAGACACCCCTGTATGAGCCCACCGTTGAGTTATCTGGAAGCATCACGATCGCGATGTCTTAGCTACTTATGGAGGATATTCTACTGGTGAGCATGTGCATCTAATCTAGTGTACGTACCGAGATCCACGGCTCTTGTGAGGCTGCCTGGGCTTGTCCGAACGGGCCTGATGTCCGGGCTCTTTTCTACCACTGGAGAGAGGCACAGCGTGACTAGTTATTCCAGGGTGTATCTCTGTGCCACTTGAGCCCCAGTTGCTATCAAGATGTTCTTCGTGTCTTGAATTCCCTCGGGTATTCTCCTCATACTCGTTGAAGTTTTGTTTGTTCACATTTGTTGCACAGGCTTTTTCACGGTACCATTCATTATACCATCGAGATGGACAATCTATTTGTTAATAACGATACATCGTTCGGGAACGATCCACCGCTATCGCAATGCCCCGAACCGATCGCAGTTGTGGGAATGGGTAGGTCCAGAAAACTCGCATCGTGAGCAATTTTGAAAGCTAAGAAGAATGATGTCAGGGTGTCGATGGCCTGGTGGCGTCCACAACGAATCCCAACTATGGTCTATGCTCCGTGAAAAGCGATCAGGCTTTTCAGAGTTCAAAAGGGACCGAATAAATGTAGACGGTTTCTATCATCCGTCACAGAATCACCCAGGTACTTTTCACATGCGCGGCGGCTTCTGCCTCGAGGAAGACCCCCGTCTTTTTGACAACAACCTCTTTCACATCAACGCCATTGAAACACGTACAATGGATCCTGCACAGAGAAAGCTCCTAGAAGTAACATACGAAGCTTTCGAGAATGCAGGGGAGCCATGGGAGAGTTTCGCTGGGTCGAAAACAGGTGTTTTTGTCGGCAACTTCATGTCGGACCACCAGAACATGCAGTTTCGCGACCCGGACAACTCAATGCCTTATGTCACGACGGGAGGTGACATCGCCATTCACAGTAATCGTATCAATTATGTTTTCAATCTGAAGGGCCCAAGTCTGACGCTCGACACGGCGTGCTCATCTGCAATGTACGCGCTACACATCGCCGTGTCGGGAATACGCAATGGTGATTGTGAAGCTGCCATCGTCGCCGGTAGCAATCTGATCTCGGACCCGGGTCCCCAAATGTTTATCACAAAACTCGGAGCACTCTCGCCAACTTCTATTAGTCATACATTCGACGCTGCAGCGGATGGGTATGCGAGAGGAGAGGGCGTTGGTGCACTGTATATCATGCCGCTGAGTCGGGCGGTAGCTGGATCGTATCCGATAAGAGCAGTGATTAGGGGCACTGCTATCAATGCGTAAATATATCTCATAAGGAGAAAAGACTATGACACTGACAACCGCAGTAACGGCCAATCCGAAGGAATTTCATATCCAAGTCCTGCAGGGCAAGAGGCCGTTATCCGGCAAGCCTATCGCAATGCAGGAGGGTTGGATCCCGCACTCACGGGTTACTTCGAGGCACATGGTACTGGAACACCAGTTGGTGATCCAATCGAAGTCAGCGCAATAGGGCGAGTGTTCTCTAAATACAGAGAGGATAACAACCCACTGCTGATTGGCTCAATAAAACCCAATCTTGGCCATAGTGAGTCTGCCAGCGCCATAGCCAGCATTATGAAGGTTGTTCTCGCGATGGAGAAGGGAGAGATCCCACCGACTCGGGGAATAACCAAATTCAATCCGAAGATTGACTTCAAGACTTCGAGAACGAAGGTCGTTACTGATATGACACCTTGGCCGCTAATGCCGATTCGCAGAGCGTCGGTGAATAGCTTTGGGTATGGCGGAGCAAATGGTCAGTGGCCCGATCTTGTTTCCTTTGGAAATATCATTCTGATTTGATTACTAGCACACGTTATTCTGGATCATGTTGAGAATATACTGCCCGGATATAACAGGCGGGGGAGAACCTCCCCGACCTACCCAATTGTTCCCTTGATCGCCCAACCACACGAACCCCAAACTCTCTCCATATCAACTTTTTTGTCTTCGCCGCTGCGATCTATTCAAGGTAGTAATCGATCCAGCATTTCATTCCATACATCCTCTTCAAACGACAATGAGCTTGAGACAAGCGGATCTGAACTCTCCGAGTCAGTTTCGCTCCATAAAGAGAATACATCGGCCAACATGTCACCCAAACGTCTCGTTCTCCTCCCCTTCTCGGCAAACGATGACAACGCTTTGAAGAAAATCATTCAGGCAGTTGGCCGTGAAGCAGGCGATTACGATATTCGCCATCTAGCCCACACGCTTTCACGTCGCCGATCAAAGTTCTCGCAGCGCGCTTTCATCATATCGCCCTCGGACACTGTCCCCAATTTCCTCCAATCAGCCACAATTGCCTCCGTGAAGTGCCAGCGCGATCCAGCCACCAATATTGGGTTTGTCTTCACGGGTCAAGGTGCGCAATGGCCGTCAATGAGTCGTGGTCTCCTCAACGAATACCCTGTATTCCAATCGTCAATTCGTTACCAAGATCAAGTCCTCGCGCGGCTATCAAAAAGACCACCTTGGTCCATAGAAGATATCTTGATAGACAAACATTCAGCGCATCTTATTCACGAGCCGATGGTTTCGCAAACTGTGTGTACTGCGGTCCAAGTCGCATTGGTCGAATTGCTTACCTCGTGGGGTATTGTGCCCGCCGCCACGGTAGGCCATTCCTCTGGTGAAATTGCGGCAGCGTATGCTGGAGGACGCCTTACGGTCGCCGAGGCTATTACGCTTGCCTATTTTAGAGGTTACACTGTTAGCAAGAATGAACGAAAAGGAAGTATGCTTGCTGTGGGATTGAACTCGACGGAAGTGAAACCTTATCTCGTTGGTCTCGAGACAGAGATCACGATCGCAGCTAGTAACTCGCCAAAGAGTGTTACGATCTCGGGCGAAATAGCGGCAATTGAGAGTATTGCAGTGCAGCTCACGAATGAAGGAATCTTTAATAGGGTTCTTAAAACCGGGGGCAATGCGTACCATTCGCACCATATGCAAGCACTCGGCAAGATGTACGAAAACGATGCTCTGGAAGGGCTAGAGGAGATCTCCGACCTGATCGATGCCACAAAGAGGCGAACATGCACCCGTTGGGTTTCTTCGGTGTATCCCGAAAGGGTCACGACCGAGATCGAGGTGGCACCATCATACTGGCGAGCGAACCTTGAATCGCCAGTGCTTTTCGACACCGCCATCGAGCAGCTTCTCAGCCAGGACGCAGATGATATAGACATTCTGATCGAAATCGGTCCTCATCCCGCCCTCGCTGGCCCAATCAAACAAATCTCCCAAGCAGCCAAAGCGCGTGGATCGAGAGTCCCAATGTACTTAGGTTCGCTGAATCGCACCAAAGACGATCTCGAGAGCATTCTCAAACTTGGTGGCAATCTCTTCACCTGCAACTGTCCAGTCAATATCGACGCCGTGAACGGGTTCTCAGATCCCATCACCAATTCGGGTGAGCGACCTCCAGTATGCATCAATCTTCCAAACTACAAGTACAATTACGGAGCGATCTTGTTCCATGAGAATAGACTGAACAAGGAATGGCGACTCCGTAAACACCCACGCCACGATCTACTCGGCTCGCGCCAGTTGGGAGGCACTTCTTTCTGCCCTTCCTGGAGAAACATGTTCCGCCTCCGCGATGTTCCCTGGCTTGGTGACCATAGATTGATCCCGAAAGCCATTTTCCCGGCAGTAGGATTTGTGGCCATGGCCATAGAGGCAGCGTCCCAAAGTTACACTGAGACGGCCGAAGTGAACACCATCGCTGGGTATACCCTCCGCAACGTTTCCGTGAGCTCAACGCTCGAAATTCCCGACACGGAGGTGGGGACAGATGTAGTGACAAATCTTCAGAAGATAAATACACCTAATGGCATTTCAGAGAACTGGTATGAGTTTAAGATCAGCTCGCTCAACACAGAGACAAAGTCCTGGGTCGAGCATTGCACTGGTCTTGTCAAGATCGAAGCGACATCTGACCTAAACAGCGACAACTTCGCCGAGAACGAAGAAAACTGGCGAGCAGTTAATATCAAAGACTGGTACACTCGGTTCGCTACCCTCGGCCTTGAGTATGGGCCTTCCTTCCAAGCTCTTTCGAATCTCAAAGCAGCTCCCAGTCGCGCAGCCGCGAACATCTCGCTTGCTCCGACAAGTGAAGCCAATATCGTCGCTGAATCCGGCTACACAATTCATCCCACAAGTCTGGATAATTGTCTCCAGCTCGCCAACATAGCGGCATATAGCGGCAACGTCGCCCTGGCGAAGCAAGCATATATCCCCGTCATGTTCAACGATCTGACCATTTGGAATAGAAGTGGCGCAGATCTCAGTGAGCCAGGGTATGCGGTGGCAGAAGGTGAACTGCGTGGTAGTCGTGGCATGTACTCACGCGCGCAAATATTCACTTCCTCAGGCGAGCTTCTGGTCGATATGAACTACTTCCGAGGTATCTCGTATGATGGGATTCCATTTGTGAGTGAGGATGCGAAAGAAAGGCCACGCGATCCGTTCAGTAGACTTTTATGGAAACCGGACATCGGTACCTTGAGTAGCGAGAAAGCGAGGGAGATGTTTCCAAAAAGAAATGCCGTATCTACGGAAGAGGACAAGGTACTGGCCGAGAAGATGGATCTTTTGTTCGCATATTTAGTTGCCAGTATCTTCACACAATACCGGGACGTGAAGTTTGACAGCGAACGAGTTCATTTGCAGCACTTCATGGACTGGATCGGTCGGGAATACGCACGAGCGGAGGAGGGGGCAATGTCTTTCGGCCTTGAGGCGATTGCAGCATCTTCAGACACGCGTTCCAGTATCATCGACGCCTACTTCGTAGAGCTCGACAGCATAGCCGAAATCAAGCTGATCCGTCGAGTATACGAGAACATCGCGACCATACTCACTGGTGAAACCACGGGACTAGAACTCGCTCTCAAAGATGACTTACTCAGCGACCTGTACAAGTTCGGACGTGGCATTTCCCCTGCGTATTTTCCGGTGCAGAATATAATTGACTTGCTAGCACATAAGAACCCGCGAATGAACATTCTGGAGGTCGGCGCTGGCACAGGTGGCGCTACTGGGCACATCGCAAACGCACTTGAAGCCGAGAGTGCATTCAAACGCTTCAACGAGTATACATTTACTGATCTTACACCCACGTTTTTGTCAGCTGCTGAGCACAACTTCGCTAGTTGTAGAGGGATGAAATATTCGGTGCTAAACATCGAACTGGATCCATTAGAGCAAGGCTTCGCCGCTGGAGAGTACGATCTCATCATCGCTTCACAAGTGCTGCATGCAACCAGCAATCTAGCGAATACGCTCCAGAATGTACGAACGCTATTGAGACCTAGTGGTAAATTGCTACTTGTCGAATTCACCAGGACACACCCAGTATCAACTTTTGCACTCGGCACCTTTCCATATTATTGGAATGGAATCGAGGATGGGCGTCCTAATGGACCGCTTGCACAAAGCGATCGATGGGCCAAAGAATTGCGAGGAAGTGGTTTCTCAGGGATTGACATCATGCTCGGCGATGAGGATACTGGCCTGGAGTGTGCTTCGATCATGGTCTCAACGGCGGTTGAGCGGGAAGCCATCATTTCCCCGATTGATGTTCCCAAATCTCGAAACACTGAAGTCTTTGTTGTTACACTTGGCGAGCCGGGTGACTTTGCCCGTCATGTTGCTGCGCAATTACGTATTGCCGGCATAGAGCGGACTCAATTCATCTCTGCCCTCAAAAGTGAGAACGAAGTGCCGAGGAACTCTCGCATCATTTCTCTGGTCGACCTAGAGAAAGTGGCTGCCCTCTTCGAAGATGAACTGCTCTTCAACAACATCAAGACAATGATCTCACACGCATCATCCATCCTATGGGTATCCTCCGGGGACATAATTCAATCATCGAATCCAGCTGCGGGCTTAACCACTGGCCTTCTAAAGACTGTTTCGCGAGAGATGCCGCACCTAAGACTTGCGCAATTCAATCTCGGCGCAGATTTCGATGGCTCAAACCAGTTCGCCCACCAAGTCGCGACGCGAGAGCACAAACTCGTCACTGACCCTGCGACCAAGGCCGACGACATCGAGATTCTCCACGATGGATGCATTCACATCAGCCGACTGGCTCCAGATACAGAACTTAACACTGCCTACAAGATCCAACAAGACCTCGACACTGAGCCTCGTGTCCGACGTCTCGGCGATCTGGGCCCCGTGAAAGTCACCACCACCCGTCCCGGTATCTTGAGCACGTTGCAGTTCGAAGAAGACGGTGATATGCTAGGTCCGCTCCCTGAAGACTGGATCGAGATTCGCTCCGAAGCCATCGACGTCAACGTCAAAGACATCGCCGTCGCAACGGGCCGCTTCGATCTCAACACTTACAGCACAGCCTGCTGCGGTACTGTGTCCAAAATCGGCTCCAAAGTTTCCCATCTCGAGATCGGGGATCGCGTTTGCGGATTCGCGCCGGGCAACTTTGGCAATTATGTGCGCGTGCCGGCAGTTTATCTGCAGAAGATGGAGAAGGGTGATGACCCCGCTGAGCTCGCGAGTCTGCCAATCAGCTATATGACGGCGCTATATTCTCTGAAGCACTTGGCTCGTGTGGAAAAGCGCGAAAGTGTCCTCATACAGTCGGCTGCCGGGGCGCTAGGTCTTGCGACTTTGAGGATTGCTCAACATCTCGGCGCGGATGTGTACGTCACGGTTGGCAATGAAGACAAGATTACGATGCTAGAGCGCGAGTTTGGCATTCCGCGCGATCGAATCTTCTCATCGAGAGACTTGGAAACGCCAAAGAAGATCTGGCAGGCGACGGGGAGGACAGGTATCGATGTGATTGTCTGCTCGACGACGAGTGGGCAGCAGATGCAAGAGTTTTGGCGATGCATCGCACCGCTTGGGAGATTCATTGAGGTCGGGAGGTTGGATGCATTGAATCATGGGAAGCTGCCTATGGAAGTGTTTAAGCGGAATGCGACGTTTTCGTCGTTTGATATTGCCTTGCTGAGTAGACAGAAGCCTAAGCTTGGTGCTGCGTAAGTTTGGTGAAGCGGATCTTTTCGAATATTGGAACTGACATGTGAATAGTCTGATGACTGAAGTAGCTCAACTGTATCGTGAGGGTGTCGTCAGGCCGATCGATTACATTACGAAGTTTGACGTCTCCGAGCTCCAACAGGCGATGATGCACATGTCGAAAGGTACCCATGTTGGCAAGGTAGTCATAACTTACGACGATCCAGATTCACTACTCAAAGTAGCACCCTCATCGACCCGCGCAGCCTTTGACTCAAATGCCACATACATCTTGGTTGGGTGCGTCGCAGGTGTGGGCAAGTCGATCAACAACTGGATGATCGAACGCGGCGCGAGACATATTGTCCATCTCACTCGTTCTGGTCCAGAATCTGCGGAAGCCAAAGACCTGATAGCAACTGCGTCCGAAACACCTGGCCTAGAAATTGACGTCCTTGAATGCGATGCGACAATTAAATCCGAAGTCGAAGCTACCATTGCGCACATTACCACTGCCAACCGACCCATCAAAGGCATACTTCACGCGGCAGCTGTATTCGAAGACGTCAGCTTCAACCAACTACATTTCACTCAACTGCAGAAAGTTATAAACCCCAAAGTAACCGGCACCATCAATCTCCACGAAGCGACACTGGATCAACCACTCGATTTCTTCACGATGACGAGCTCCATCGTCTCCGTCATCGGCACTGCCACCCAGGCCAGCTACAGCGCCGCGAACAGTTTCCAGGACGCCTTCGCGCGCTTCCGTCTCGCACAAGGTCAGCCTGCTCAATCTCTTGCCCTAGGAATGATTCTGGACGTTGGTTTTGCCAGCAGGCGCGAGGACATCCAGCGCTCGTTGTTGCGAAATGGTGTGTACGGTACTTCAGAGCCGGACTTTGTCCAACTTCTTGATGCGGCATTCACTGCTCCGCCAAAACGCTCAAGCGATCACCTTGATTCTATGTCAGGCGCACACTTGCTTGCAGGTCTTGAGCCTAGCAAGATTTACGAAGCCGATAAGAAAGCCGTTGGAGCCGATTTCGCATGGTCATCTGATCCGCGGTTTGGGCGCGTTATTCAGGCAATCGAAGATCATCACGCTCTCCTTCAGAGTGCCAATTTTTCGAACGGATATCCACACACGTCATCGGCTGCTCCTGCGCTCAGTCAGCTGTTCTCTCTCGTGCAGAAAGTGAAGGTGTCTTCAGCATCGTCTCCAGAAGATATGCAGCATCTGCGTAGTCTCGCGGAAGGTTCGGTGGCGGAGCGTCTTTCAAAATTGTTATTTGTTTCTCTCGATGACGTTGACGTCTCGAGAGATATGGCGAGCTATGGTATTGATAGTATGATTTCGGCTGAATTGAGGAATTGGTTGTTCAAGACGTTTGGGTTGGATATTAGCTTTGTAGAATTGGTCACAAAGGGGATGGCAGTGAGAGGGTTAGCGGAAAGGATGGTTGGGAAATTGGTGGAATCGACATGAAAATTTCCTTTCAGTGATTATTCATGAGCCAAAAGTACTATATATTACATGAAACTATTTCATTGAAATCATGTTAGCAAACTCTTAATCCAGATGAGCTCGTCAAGTGCTTATGAAATGAAAGGACAATTTTTCTTCCCAGTTTCCGCGATAACAACCACCATACTTCATATAAGTCTCATCTGCCGAAAGGTTTATGGGGAAGGAGCCAACAAATGTGGTCAAATGATAATGACAGTTCAAAGGTAATCCGAATCTTACCATGGAGACACATGAACTTGCAATCATGCCCCGTGTGTCTTAGTGCCTACCTGCAGATAGCCTGCTTCTTAGCTCCTGCAATCCTAGTATATACTTCAATCCAACCTTTTTCTCGCAACTCTAGTTCCCCTAGCAGCCTGTGCCGTTGTGCCTTTTTTGAAGTACTTTCAACATGATACACCAAGCAGAACACGAGGAGTAAGACTACGGTGAGTCAGGCCTAGAGGAAAGATATAACACTTTCAGTGTCAAGAAGCAGGCTGTTGATTAGTAGAGTATATAGCTATTTCCTGATAAATGAATTTAAGAGGGTTGCTGCAGAGGATATAGTTTCAAAAGCTATTAAAAGTACTTATAGTAGTTAATAGCTAGATATACTAAATACTATTAACTTCCTTAGCTATAATTAGAAAATAATTTAATTAAATTTACTATAATGTAACGATAGGTAACTTACTACACAAGGTAAGAGGGGTATATCGCAGAGGTTTGTATAGGGTAAAGCGAGTATCAAGACAAGATAATAACTCTGACTTATCCAGGGGGATAAGCTACTATTGTACTGGTAAGGTAATTCCAAAAGATCAGATACAATTTGTTATTGACTACGAAGAACTCCTACATATGAAATCTGGCAATCTTATATATTCGTCCTTCCTAGCCCTTGATCAAGCTTGCTTAAGCTGCTCAACCTCTTGGCCTGTGCCAAGACCTTGATCACTTTGATCAACCTTGATCACTTTCACGTGATGACGAGTCACGTGACTTGTCCTTTGGAGTCATCGAGCTCTCTGGCCACGATTTCCGGCTTCCGTCCCAAGTACTTGACGCCTTCTCTGCCCTCATAGGTTCTGGTATCGTAACATATAACTAGTATATTTATCTTCTAATACTAAAGTATATTAATGGTAGTAGTTTTATTATTTTCCTTAACTATATATTAAATTATAATATTATATTTATATTTACTAGTTAGTTCAATTTATAGTGCTATCTGGTTCCCTTTCGGGTCTATGAACACTTCCCCTACGTTATTGTGTCTAGTAGGGCAAACGTGATGCCTCCAATAGGGGAGGTATCTAAAAACCCCTACTTCCTACGTGTCCC